TGGAAGCTGGAAAGCATGGTATGCCAGCAGCGAGCGTGCTCCTGTTATATATATATATACTAACCAAGCGGTCCTCCTCGCTATTTTATAGTTATCGTGGAGAAACCGTTTACGCCCACTCATCAGGAAGCGGATGAACTGGTCGCGATATCAGAGAAGCAAAATCGCATGATTTCTGTATATCAAAGTAGGTATTGAGAGGCAGGATGTGGAACTCGTATATCCCCGCATATCTATCATTTGGCACAAAATAAACTCTAACTTGAACTTCCATAGACCGTAGGTGGGATGCCGACTTTGTTACAGTCTCAAAACTGGTAAAAAGCGGCGCCCTTGGCCGAGTTGCTGAATTTGAGACTCATTTCGATCGCCATCGCCCTGAGATGCCCGCGACTCGCAGCTGGAAAACTAACACGATACCTGGAAGTAGCGCCCTATATGATCTGGGGACTCATCTTATTGACCAGGTTGTCCATTTGTTTGGTCTTCCAAAGAAAGTAACTGGCTTTATTGGCTCCCAGAGGGAGAGCAATGAGTCCGGGTATGAAGATTCGTTCACGCTGCTTCTCCACTACGATCATATCTTAGCTACTGTAAAGGGAACGATAATCAGCCCTGAAGAGAAGCAGTTAAGATTCTGGGTTCGGGGAGATAAGGGCAGCTTTAAAAAGGTAAATCCTCTCCGCTTCTGCCCTTGGATAAATTACCGACTGAAGGGGCACGATAAAGCTAATTTACTACCAGCACTATCTGGATATCCAAGAAGAGCAACTGAAAACCGGACTTAGACCAGGAGACCAAGGTTATGCCAAGGAGCCTAATGATAGATACGGTGAGGATTTCAAACTGGGACACCTTTTTGCTTCCCGATAACAACCACCCCGCCCACTAATCTTGGATTAATTGACGAAAGGTATCCTTACAAGCTACAATAACGGTGCATTGCATAGCGAGGCATTTCCCACTATTGAGCCTCCCACATATGCAGAGTTCTACCGCAAATTCGCAAAGGCGTTAGCCGGTAAAGGAGATGTGCCAGTAAGCCCTTCACAGGCAAGCGATGTCATCCGGCTCGTCGAACTTGCCAGGGAAAGCTCCAAGTTGGGCAAAACATTGGATGTTTGACATGCATTCGATTGCCGTTGCGTGGGTTACTGCTTCCACCTGCTTGACATGTAGTGAGATACGCAGGTGCCCGAATTCAACAGGGTTCAAAGGTTCTCGATGTAAGGTGATCAAGGTGCTTTTCCGTCTCCATGCTCGTTTTTATCGCGATATTGTGAACTACGCTACTCTGTGACCCAAGGGTCGTCCTCCCTGGTTTAAGTAAATAAACTTTCGCGTTCCCGAATGGGGGCGATCACAAATTTGGGCCCAAACTTAATGTGGTTGGGCGATTGTTTCCGAGATGCGTTTGCACGTTAGGGAGCCAATGCCGTTTGACCTAGAGATCATGAAATGTGATATATCAATCGCCGATCTCCGTTCTCCATTATTCATCGGTTTAGCACATGCATTGCGCAAGCATGATTATGCCTCGACTGGCGGCGCAAGAGTCATCATCTCTTAGGACACCGTCGTACGTATGCACTGTCTCTAGGTTCACCCAGTCTCCGTCGATTGTAGTCAGTCTTCCCAGTAATTCCTGCGCATAATAATGGCGTTGAAGCGTAGCTACGAGGCTGCGAGGTTAGGCGCTGTGGACGACCTGGTTAAATGCTAGAATTATCAGCCTTTGGCCTCTACGGCTCATTATCTTTTCTCACCGATCCTCCCCCCCCCCCCCCCCCGTTTTTTTTTTTTTTTTTTTTTTTTGGCATAATTGCATCTTTGTCCATTTTCCATTTGCAGCAGTTAGACTCTCTACCCAAGGTTCTCTTGCATTTCCGTTCACCAGGAAATGGGTTGAAAGCTGAAGCACAGAAAGGGATCATGCAATCGTTGCTACATTCCACGTGGATTGTGGAAGAAAATTGTCGATACGATTCTCTCAACTGCTGCCATGCTGCTTGTCTTCGAGTTCAGTTCAGAGAAAGGCAAACAGCCACGTTCTGTGATCAAACTGGCTGGATGTCACACCCTTTTCAGAGGACATTCCTGCCATTCGCGTTCCCACGTTCTGCTGAAAACTTGATGGAAATGGAGGTCCCTGATTAGTTGGCGGGAAGGTGATCTACACCAACAAAGGACTGTGGCACTCTTTCTTTGCAGGATGGTCCTCGAGAGCCATCGCCTCCAATGCAGGCGGGATCGCGTGGGACAAACGCTTTTTAACCTGCTTGGTTCTCATAAGGACACCAGAAGAACGGCCAAATTCCTGGCCGTTTTCTTCTTCATCAAATAATCACCAAAATGGTACCTTGCTTTTTTCAAGTGGGAATATCACTTCGAGGATGTGGTATTGGACGATATAATGGCGTTGCTAACACTCACGGTCGAAAATGATACCGGGATAACTAATATCTCGTCAGTATATCCGCCCGTGGATGAAGGTCGTGCACCTTTGATTCTCGGTCTATCGGGGTGTCTTGCTGTGTTGTCTATCCTTGTAGTGGTATTGCGATGTTACTGCCGAGGCCGGATAGAGAGGCATTTCTGGCATGATGACTATCTCATAGTGTTTGCCACAGTGAGACTCAAACCCATCCCTACTCAACAAACATGTTAATGTTCGGGTCGGCTCACTAACATCCTGATTCAGATATGTTCGATTATCGTCCTCGCTTGCTTCATAGCAGAGTCGTACAATGGCTTGGGGCGCTATATTTTGTTCCTTAGCTCTGAAAACCGCGAATATTTGGCGAAAATAGGATACATCCATGGGATATTTGACCTGCTTGGAATCAACGCCGTGAAAATATCTTTCGGCTATTTTATACTTCGGACAACAAGCGGAGTCAAGATTCGGAATTCAACTAAAGGGATGATTGGTGAGTATTACAACCTCAGGGTTATTTATCGGAATATGTATAGAAAGAGGTAGCTAACTAAATCTTGGTCAAGTGTTCGTCCTAGCCTTCACGATATTTACGACAGGCATGGCTATTTTCCAATGCGTTCCAGCTGCTGCCCTCTGGAATGCCGGCATAGAATCCAGTTCCCATTGTCTTTCACTTAAATCCTACGTTACCATCGGCCTAGCCACTGATTGTATGTAATATTCAAAAATTCATGAAAGGTCTTCGGGGCTAATTTCACAACAGCTATGAACGCTATAATCGATCTTATATTATCGACCTTACCTCTTCCCCTCTACTACGATTCAAATGCCAGCAGATATTCCCGAGTGGCGTTGGTGGGAATCGTTGCTCTTGCATATATGTAAGTAAAATATCGTCCGCTTCACTGGCCACGACTTTCGGTGCCTCTGGAACTCTAATTTTCTCGATGCAGAGCATGCAGCGCTGCCATTATAAAAATTGTTCGTCGAGCTCATGTGCTCACGACTCCCAGTTCGTGGCGGTAAGTTAATGCTACGCCCTCCCCTTACTCTGGAGAAAAGCATAGCTGAGAGGCCATTAGCGAAAGCGATTACACCCTTTGGACTAAGTATGATCAGCCTTACAACATCTGTACTCCAAAGCCGCTCCTTACCGTTACTTCTCTTGCAAATAACTCAAAAGGGTAACAGATAACCAAGCTAATCAACCATTTTTCTCCTTCCAGCATCGAACTTCAAATTGGAATTCTAGCGGCTTCTCTACCCACTCTGAACCCAATGTTCACAATCATCGCCACGTTTATAAGCAAGACATTTAAGACACCTAAATGGCCGACAAACAACCCCGACACGCAGGAACACAGTTCAGCCTGCAACCCTATTCCAATGGGTCCAACTCCATTGCGAAGACTTAGCCGATCAACCCTCTATCGTCACAACGCCAGTAGTGTTACCACCGAGCACTCCGACCCGGAACAACAGCATATCACTAGATATCCCTCAAGCCATTATAAAGTCGAAGTTAGCGCCTCAAGACTCTCTGGTTCTAAAAACGGTAGCCGGCGAGATGCTATCCTTGCTGGTGCGCCGTCGGGGTTTCCAGCCATAATGAGAACTACTGATGTATTTATACACACGGCAGATGGGAATAAAAGAGGTATTGACGAAGGAGATGTTGATAGTGCAAGTGCGGAAATTCGATCTGTTAGCTGATGATGGAATGTCTCTTTGATGAATCGATGTTTTGGGAATGGAATGGGTCGGCGCTTCGTGTACGCATGTACGGGGTTCCTGAGCGGTGGTATACGCAGTCCAGACTCTCTTATGTTTGCCGCTTTCTTCCTCTTTCTATAACAAATCTTGCACATATGCTAGGTGCATTCACGTCTGTATGTATCTATATGTATATAAATATGCAGCTTGTATACCTTGTTCTGCAATTTTGACTTCCTTTGTCGGTCTTGTGGATTATATGTAAGCCATGGCACCAAAACATATACCAAAGAGCGTAAAATCAGTACATTTAGGTTGAATTAAGAAAATGAGATAGGTATCTCAATATATCACGCCTCGGGCTAAGTGACACAGCTTAAGTGTTTTGTCACTATCAGTATAAATTATTCCATACCTCAAGTTGAACTGGTTGGGGCGGGGCCAACCCTGGGCGAAACCTAGGATCGTGTCCGGGAGCTATAAAACACTTTACCTAACCTTAAAAAACTCTAAAAAGGGGCCCTATTTCGACCCCAATCAACAACACTGGAACCGACCGAAGTCATCACCTAGTGGACGAGTTCAATACCTTCTGGATAAATCATTTGATATGCATTTTATTCACACTTACATTACCAGCGCACCCATGGATATATCCCTTTCTTTAACTGTCTTGCTATCTTGCGCCCTTCCTGTTCTTTAACGTTTTTTTTGTGTCCAGCCTCGATCTTGATTGGTATGAAGGCCTAAAAACTCATGAGCAAGAGGGCGGAAAATCGTTGCCTGATGGCTCTTTCTAGCCCGTTTGTTCAGGTCATCTCTTCCTTGTATATCAATAGATTATAGCAAATAGCTCATGGGTTGCATATAAGAACGAAATGAGTGTTGGTTGACTTGTGTTCTCTGGTTCAGACATAGGAGCGTAGGAGCAGGAGTGTTTTCTACAAACTCTTCACAAAAAGGGATTTACGAAGTAAGTAATCATTTAATTACAAGGATAGCTATGTATCTATCGTTTGCCACGCGTAAAAGCTCAAGTGACATTGAAAGGCGAAAAGGTGTGGTCGAGTTTGAATAGAAGAACAAGTAGACTGGCAACAAGCTTAATCTCAAAACAACCATCTCGTCATCAGGTACACAAAATAGAACTCCGGTATCCCCCTCCTAAATAAAATAAATGCTAAAATTTGAACAAGAGAAATGGCGTGTATATGTGTCGGGTCTCATAAGGGTCGAACGGCCGGATGTTGATTTAAGACGAGGACAGAGGGCATTCATGAAGAGTACTTGGTGCTTCCACAATATACGATCCAAGGTTGCACAGTTGAATCTTCCCTGCTCGCCAAGATTCAGTGTGATCTTGCAGCCTCTAACCTCAATAGGCTGACCCAAAATCACTCTTCATCACTCCGGATTTGGCGTGCGGCAGCGTCGGGGTTCCGCAGCAACAGGCACAGATATAGAGCAAACACCTTGCTAGCCGCCGTCACTGCAGTCTGCACAAACACCCACACGGTAAGCTCGACAACTGTCACCGCCATTATCGACGTGAATACAAGGGTACCGGCGACATAGTAGATGCCCCAAGCCAGTTGGACAGGCCAAGCTTCATCTGCACCTTGTACCGCGGAGACACTACCAGTTGTCAACGAATCAGACCCGCCCTTCACCTGTGTCCGTCGCATCGCAAACAAGGCATGTACAAATGCCGGGAATACACCAGCGATGCACCAAGTAACTGCAAACACGGGGTATGGACAGCCCAGCGAGCTGCGCTTGGAGTATATTTCCACAACTGCCAACACCCCATACGATACCACCAGAAGCAAAAAGCTAGCGGCCACGCGGACAGTCGTCCAAATGCTCGGGCGCAACCCGACATTGGCGAACATGGCCCCTTCCATCCACTGTAGGTATCTCTGCACATGAACGCCGTCAAGATCACCTACGACCGTCGGCTCAAGTCCCAGAGCGCGAACGATGACCGCGGCAGCAAAGGGCAAGGGAGCGGACACGAGTGCAATTCGTCGCTCAGGCCAAGCGACATCCTTGAGCGTCAGTGGGATTAAACCCATGATTAGCGCAGTGGCGCCAAATTGCTGTTTGCGCGCCTCGTCGGCAGATTCAAGTGCGCATATAGATGTGATCCAGCAGAGTTGGTTGCTGCCGCTGTAGAAGTGGAACCATGGTTTGAAGGGGGAGTACACGATGTCTTCGTTTGGGGGGCATGAGGTGTTATCTGTGATGTTGTCGGCGGCGGAAACAGTGAGAGACAGCAGGAGGAGGAGGAGGAGGAAAAGAGAGACGATTGGGGTTTTTTGACCCATTTTATAATTTCCTTTTTTCACCGTCTTCCCAGCTCCCAACTAATCTTTCGGGCGATCGTTTGGAAAAGTGGAAAATATCGGATTGTGTATGTTAAATTGCGCGGGGGAATCTAAAAGGGCCTTTCCCGGTGATGCGCAAGAAAAGTCAAGAGAGCTGCGATATGCTCGACATGTCAACACAGACGAAGGCTCCTTTTTAAAAATAAAAAATAAAAAATTGAGGGCGCCCGTTGCCCAAATGCAACCGGTTAGTCTGCGCACATAGCGCGCCATCTTTAGGCCAACAAAGAGTCGGGCCTTGTAGAGTCTCGACGAAGGATGATTTGCCGTAGCCCGCCTCGATTTTCACTCTTGAAGGGGCTTAGGTTCACAAGAAGGGGGAAACGGGGAAGGATGGAGCAGGAACCAGGGGCTTTCAGGGACCATTTGAACGATATCTCACGGATTAGACCTGCAGGTTTAAATCGCTTGACACTCTCACTAGTGGATCTCTGCCTCTTGTCTTGCGGATCACCAACCATTTCCTCAGCGTACTCTGTAGGCTCATCCTTCGCTCAAAACCTGAGGGATCTTGAATTATAGATAACTTTCTCATCTGCTTGTAGGACCGTCACAGTTCACGACGTCTCCATCATCCAGCACCCTCTTCGAATGTATTTTGAAGCCATGGATGGCACTGCTGTGGGAAGAGACGCGTTTATCAACGACGGATCCTGGCATCAGCCTCATTCCTGTGGGATTCTCCTCACTGCCGGAAGGATTGCGCCTAATTATTTCCAAGACTTTTAAGGCGGCATCTGAATACGAGACGAATTCTTGGACTAATTCCGCTAAGCTCTGTTCCCGTCCCTAGACTCCTAGAGCTTCCATCCGGCAAAGGATATTTGTCCTCACATGATAAGGTTCTCACGAAGGAGAAAACTCGCACCAAATTAGCGCTTCCAAATCGTGCAAAGCTTCTTCTTTATCTGGGCCCCCCAACAACCGTTTTTCGGGCCTGAAATTAGGGGCCAACGGCTAGCCTAGCGACGGGTTCTTCAAAATCCTTCAGTTCACGCATCCTCTGTTCGAAAAACTGATTTCCGAGCGGATAGTTAATTGGCTTATTCATATCCAGACTGAGTGGGTTAGTCTGGCAGCCTATATAGAATCCGTGTACTCGGTATAGAGAGACCCACAGGTATAGAGATCCCTGAGTATAGAGGGCTTGGGGATAGAGACTCCAGGATATAGAGACTCTCTGGGTATCTAGTAGGCCCCTTAGGTCTAGAGCCATCTTTCAATGTAAGGCTCTATTTCATAACCTCCAATGAGAAGACCTTGATTACGCAGCGTATTAATGCAATCAGTATCATCAACACTACTATATAAAATACGTATTTGACCAAAATGTCACTATAGGCTGCCGTAGTTAGACCGGAGGGGTATGCAATGTCGTCCACACTTCGATATTGAGTTAGTGAGCGAGAGAGCATGATTCGTGAACTTCACATGGGAGGCGCTTTGGCTCCGTTTGCGATAATCGGGAGAAACAGAGCTGAATTTTCCTTCGCTTGTTGCACAGTTCTCTCACCCATCAAGCGGTCAGCTTGCCATGATGTTAGAGACCCTTATTCACCACGTATGAGAAATGACGAATCGTGCTTTACAAAACCTCACAGACCGCTAGATAGAAGCCTGCTATCAACATTCTCGCACAGTCGAACGTATCTGGGTGGTGGTTCTATTACTGCCGTGACGAACCGGAGAAACCCATGTCTCAATCTCAATGTTTTCACATCTGTGATGGACATATTGTGTCGAGTTTGGTGGTGCTGGTTGCTAGCTTGAGGACCATGAGATTGACCCACCGACAAAACAGGGCTCAAGAAGAATCAAGCAGGCAGGACTTTATAAACGCGTTAAACAATGAATAACGAGGGTTACATGTGTACAGAAGATAACGATACTGCATCAGAGGCGAGCTGACCAGCTCAGCGTTTGTAAACAGCTAAGAGAGGATCAGACTATATCTCAATAAGTTAGAGGAAATGATTTGTGACAATGATCCTCCCCGCCCCAACCCAACCCCACCCTCCCAAAAGGAAAAAAGCAAAAAGAAAACTATATAATAACTAACGGAGAGGAGTGTCACGATATATAGCAGCTATTGGCATATCCAACATTATAAAATGGGCTGAAAGTTCAAGAAATTTATTTTCCGCAAGTCTAGATAGATATCTTCGTTCCACAAGGTGCCTTGCAACCATAGATCTCAAAGTTCATTATTCCGTCTTGCCCGAGGAAACACGGGAGAAATGAGGAAAAATGAGGAAAACGAACAAACACCCCGGGGATGAGCATTTGCGTCATTGCTGCACCTATCTAATCTCAAACCTAGACTTCCAAAGAGTCTTCATCATCCGCTTGAGATAGCAGCGATATATGTAGGTCATCGGATTACAGTTATTCATTTGGGCAAAACCATGCGTGGAGTATATCACGGTGTAATCCACTTTTTCCCAGCTCCCTCAATCAGTTTCACCATCCGAGTTCCGGTTGCACTGACCTGAACAACACAGCCGGTGAAATAAAAAGCTTGAATCTGGAAAAAGTTGCACAAACTCAAGCTCTGGCGGCTGGAGCCAAGAAAGGGAAACCTCCAAAAATATTTATATCACGTGATGTTCCATCTTTTGAAGGGCGGATATCAACCGAACATCCGAGAGAACCGATAGAAGGCGATAAATCCGATATCTTTGGGCGTTATCTGTTTCTGTTACATATTGACAAGCATATGTGGCAGTATACCTTCCACTCCTGTAGGCTGTAGTTTTGCCTGTGCGATATCTCTCAGCTCTGACAATGCACGCAATTCGGAAGGTTTGCCAGCCGCAGAATGGTTCCGGCATTGGTAATACGGACGAAGCTGGGCGAGAATCACGTCGTCTTCGCCTGTGTCTGGCCACGATGGCGACAACACCGCTAGACTATTTGCGGTCTTCGACCGACCGCGGGCCGAACGAACCCAATCAACGCGCTCTGGTTGGCGGATTTGAAGCAATGGCTGGGATGTTCCAGGTCACGGGACTCACGCGACGCCACCCTCCGAAGCTTGGCAGGTACGGCGGTCTCTTCTGCCCCAAATGGCCATGAGAAAATCACCAAGCTGCCGCAAAAAACACAAGCAAAAAAGAATGGGTCCCCCGTTGCCTGGGGCCAGAGGATTATTATTATTATTTCAGTCTTTCCTGACACTGCCGTTGCACCGTGCAATCCGCGGAGAAACCGCCCATCGAACCAAGCGGAATAAACATGTCAGAGGGGGGAAATTTTTTCACCCGCTATTATTATGTTGACCGTGAATCTTCAAATCCGGCATGTCATGTCGTAATCCGCTGGTGCTGAGGCGGCCTGTAGTTATCGTTCTATTATCGTTCTGACTCAGCTCAACGGCTTCACGCCCTAGGCATTTTTATCTTTTTTTTTTTTTTTTTTTCTATTCTGTTTCATCTTCCCCTCCTCGAGTTCCCATAGACTCTATATATATATAGAAACTGTTTGACCCCTCCCCAACAGTTGCATGGTGATCCGGGACTTTCATGCCGTCTTTCCGTATTTTTTCCTTATATTTTTTTCTTCCTTCTCCTTGAATGATTCTCTTCTACTCTCTTTTAATCATCTCAACGCTTCCACTCATTCTGAAGACTGGATATACCGATGCCCGGCTTGTACGATTGTGACCTGGATATTGACAGGCTTCTCAATCGTTATGTTCCCTATCCTCGATGGCATCTTATACCCCGCCCGGTGGCCCATTTCTTAGGTCATAGGACACAACCACCAAAAAAACCCGGCAATGTTCTGGTCATGCTCTGGTCCATTGTTGGTGTGTTCTGCGGGCTGGCCATTGTTGCTGCAGTAACAAAAAATATTCCCCGTTTCCAAGCACATGGTTCTTTTACCATGATTAGCAGCTTCGTGAGTCGACGACCCGTCCGAATAACATCAAGAATTGTCCTTCTAGTCCCATTCCAGATCCTTTCATAGTACCCATTGGTTCGGGCAAAAGACGCTGTCATATTCCCTCTTGATTTGATTTCTTTGTTTGATCTCTTGCTTGCTTTGTCAATAGTGAAGTGTTAACCAGTTTATCAACAGGGTGCTACTGCCGTACTTGAATACTGCTCCATAGATTCCCCACTCGCACAACCTCGAAATGCTTTTCTAGGCCAAATAATCGCATCAGTCATAGGGGCCGGGATCGCGAAATTGTTTGCCTTGCATCCTCATGCAGAATCTTGGTTCTGGCTTGGTGGGCCGGTGGCATGTGCAGTCGCTGTTGCGGCCATGATATTCAGCAAAACGATACATCCACCTGCCGGAGCCACTGCGTTGATGGCATGCATAGATCCGGGAACCAGACGCCTGGGATGGCTGCTGATTCCTCTTGTGATGCTTAGTTCTTCGCTTATTCTGGCCACAGCCCTTCTGCTAAACAACATCCAAAGGAGGTTCCCCTTGTACTGGTGGACGCCGGAAAATCTTCGTCCAGCCGAGAGGCCAGAGAAGGACCTAGAGGAAATGGCATCTTCCGATGACGATGAACGCACGCCGACAGGGAGTGCGATAATGATACGACAGATGTCAAAACAGGACCAGTTGATAGTGATACGAGGTGGGCAGGTGATAATATCGGATGGCCTTGTCCTTTCACCCGAAGAAGTTCAATGTTTAGACCTGTTGAGTAAACGGATATAGACGAATAAAACGGTTAGAGCTCTCTGTCAACAAAGCCTATATAGAATAATAAATGGAATGATTTACGACCTTCAAAAGTCTTGCGATCAATGGGGTTTATCTAGGGTCCCTGACTATTCGAATTTAGGAGTATATTACCATTTCCTTCGGCAGAATCATTAGCTAATTCAGGTCCCAGTGAATATGAATGTGAATTCATACCTGGCTTTGAATCAAGACCAGAGTAGTGGCCCGCAACCCCAGTGCCTACATGTAGCCTCCGCACCTGTGCATGTGAATGCACGTATTTGATGTTCCACAGTTCCCTTCCGCAACAAGCCTCACCCCAATCGTAGCCGTCTCACTTTGCCTTTCGATTTCCGCCATCCAGCAGGGCTGTCAGGGTCGAATTCAGAGACAGGCTCACACAACCGACGTCAACACGACCCGCAAGCGCTGCCAATGTCCACCTGGAACCACACGTGACTGACAGTATCACGTGCATGTTCCGCGGCTCAAAATGTTGGGGGTCCCGCGGTTGGTCGGCCCTTCTACCAGCAGGCGCTGGTGGTGATTGAGCTCTTTTGCCCCAGTAGCCTACACAAAACGCCAAGCTGCGCAGTGGCGTCTTACCTAAGCCACGTCATTCCTCGAAATTTCAACCTTTTTTTTTTTCTGTATCAACTCCGACTTCGACTTCAACGTCAACAAGTCTTGTCTGCGCCCAAACACTCTCCCTTTTTCCTTCTTTTTCTGCTAACGAGTTTCCTTCCGAACATACACATATCAGTCTCCTTTTCCATCCTATTAAAGAGACTGCCTCCTCCTGCTTTACTCAAAAGTCATCTATATTTGTTTTTGTGTTAAAACTAGACTTCTCGGGGACCTTGTTTGTTCATCCCACTATTAGGGCTTTTTTCTATCGATAAGGCCAAGACCCCGCTATGTGTGCACTCCCCCTCCCTGTCTTTTTCCATTAATTCATTTTTTTTTTTCTTTTTCCTTCGCCGCCCCTTCTCAGTATCGACATAGATTGTCATACATTTTTCTTTAATATAATTTCGATCCATTTCCATCGAGCACAGTTAGGCATATTCGCTAACGATATTGATCGCCGTTTTATATTTTTCTTAATTTTGAAGAGAAAATCAGGAATTATTAATACTTTGGTTTTAATTCGAGTACAACGCGAAGAAGAAGCAAAAAAGAACACAATCGCAAAAATGGTATCGGCATCGAAGGCTGCTCGTCAGGCAAAGCGTGCTGCGGACGGAAAAGATGACAAGAAGAAGTCCGCCACATCGAGACTGTCGTCCAGAGTCAACTCGAAAAACGCATCTCGAGCCTCATCCGTGAACGGGGAAGAAGAATTTGTCCCCGAAGAGTCGGCAACCTCCGCCTCCAAGTTGTCCGATGTCAAGAAATTGACCTCCCAGATGGATAAATTTGGCTTGTCGGATCGTGTAACCACTGGTGTCCTTGCGTCTCTTCCCTCCAGCCGTGACGTCAAGATTAACTCCGTCTCCCTCGTGTTCCACGGCCGGGTACTTATTACCGATGCAATCCTCGAGCTCACCTATGGCCGACGATACGGCCTCTTAGGCGAGAACGGTTGCGGAAAGTCGACACTGATGAAGGCTATTGATAAGCGAGAGTTCCCCATCCCCGAACACGTCGACATCTATCTGCTGAACGAGGGTGCGCCACCTAGCGACCTGGGAGCCCTTGAGTGGGTTGTCAAGGAGGCAGAGAACGAAATGGAGAGATTAGATAAATTAGCAGAGGAGATATTGGAGAAGGATGGCCCGGAGAGCCCTATCCTAGAAGATCTATACGAGGTGTGTAGTTGCAGCATCGCCACCCGCTTTTTAACCCATTTTTCCTATTTCCAACTGTGAATGCTAACATCTCTTTTTTTTAGCGTATGGAAACCATGGACCCTTCGACTTTCCAAACGAGAGCATCCCTTATTTTAACTGGTCTGGGTTTCAATAAGTATACCATTAAAAAGAAGACGAAGGATATGTCCGGTGGATGGAGAATGCGAGTGGCCCTGGCCAAGGCTCTTTTCGTCAAACCCTCTCTACTCCTCCTCGACGACCCAACGGCCCATCTGGACCTCGAAGCTTGCGTGTGGTTGGAAGAATACCTCAAGAAATGGGACCGCACTCTCGTCCTCGTTTCCCACAGCATGGACTTCTTGAACGGAGTTTGCACCAACATGATTGACATGCGTCAGAGCAAGCTAATCTACTATGGTGGCAACTACGACGTTTACCACAAGGTCCGCCACGACCAGGAAGTCAATCAGATGAAGGCGTACCACAAGCAACAAGAAGAAATTGCCCACATCAAGAAGTTCATCGCGTCCGCCGGTACCTATGCCAACCTTGTCCGACAAGCTAAATCCCGCCAGAAGATCCTCGACAAAATGGAGGCAGACGGCTTCATCCAGCCTGTCGTCCCGGATAAGGTCTTCACATTCCGTTTCGCAGATGTTGAGAAGCTCCCGCCCCCAGTCCTCTCATTTGATGACGTCACATTCTCCTACAGCGGAAAGCCAGAAGATAACCTGTACGAGAACCTCGACTTCGGTGTCGATATGGACTCCAGAACCGCCCTTGTCGGGCCAAACGGTGTTGGAAAATCAACCCTCCTCCGCATCATGACGGGCAAACTCAGCCCCACCGGCGGCAGAGTCTCACGGCACACCCACTTGAAGCTCGGAATGTACAGTCAGCACTCTGCAGAGCAGCTCGACCTCACAAAATCCGCCCTCGAATTCGTCCGCGACAAATACCCGGAGAAGAGTCAAGATTACCAATACTGGCGCCAGCAGCTGGGTCGGTACGGGTTGAGCGGTGATGCACAAACCGCCCTCATGGGAACTCTCTCGGAGGGCCAAAAAAGCAGAATCGTCTTCGCGCTACTGGCCATTGAGGGCCCGAACATGTTGCTTCTCGATGAACCTACCAACGGCCTCGATATTCCCACCATTGACAGTCTGGCTGATGCTATCAACGCGTTCAGCGGTGGTGTCATTGTTGTTTCTCACGATTTCAGGTTCGTATTTTCTGCGTTTCCTTTTAATATTTTAAAAGCTTCCTTTGACCCCGTTTCCTCTCTTCTGTCATTACCTCCGTCCACTAATATGTTCCTATAGACTCCTCGACAAAATTGCAAAGGACATCATGGTCTGCGAACACAAGACCGTCCGCCGATGGGATGGTAGCATCGGAGAGTATAAGGACCACTTGCGAAAAAAGATGTTGTCCGCTGGACAGGTTTAGATAGATTTCATTTGTATGTTGTTTCTTTTTTAAAGTTGGAGGCTTTTTTTTATCCCTCTTATTTTAATTCGTGCCCAGTGGGTTTTATACGCTATCGGTTTGCTGGCTCTGGTTTTTATTTTTTTTATTTATATACATTTTTTTTTTTCTAAAAAAATCAAGCCTGTTGTTGAATTATGGAGCATTGTGCCAAACGGCCACGCGAAATAGAGACTCATTTTTAGTTCATTGAACCCAAAAGATTTCCATGGTTTATTTATTTATTTATTTTTCGTCCACTTTTCATTCTTAGTCTAATTGTTATTCTGCGAAAAAAAAAAAAAAAGAAAAAAAAAAAAAGAAAAAAAAAAGAAAAAAAAGAAAAAGAAAAGAAAAAAAAGAAAAAAAAAAATAACAGAACAAAAAAATCCGCGAGAGAAATGCATATAGAGAATACTCCGTGCTCCGTACTTATTTTTGCCCATATCAGCAACCTTTCTCGCCCATATCGGCGGCCCCCTCCTTCCCCACCCCAATTCCCTTTGTTTTTGCCAACTTATGTGTTTGGGGTGAGGAAAATCTTGCGCGATTACATATATTCCTATTGAAGAGGAATGAATTTATGATAGGTCTATCAAAAGGGCAACAAAAAACAAGACCAAATGAATGAATGAACGCAAGAAAGAAAGAAAGAAAGCAACGAGGTCTTTGCAGTAGGCAAATTCAATTGGATATTAATTAGCAGTTTATGATATGGGAATACTACAGTGTATAAATTTTTCTGACGATATACAGTATGTACATTTCACTCGGTTTCCTCTTTCCATCCAGACAGGGCACGGTGGCAATGAAGCCCCTTTTGTAGTGTGCGTGAAGCATATTAAAAATGGGAGCCATATCTCTCACAATGGTAGATTTTATTCCGATTACTCCATGGGTAGATAGGTGGATAACGGAAGTGTAGGTAGGTGTAGCAGATCTTTTTCCCCCAAAAAACGCACACCACTCCTGCCGGTCACCACAGGGTAACCGTCCTCCGTACTAATTATGAGTACTCAAATGTATATGTACATGTACAGTACCTACTACCGCCCCACCATCAATCCACCGCCCCACCCTTCCTCTTCCTCTCCTCCATCAAATCCCCCCCAAAAAGCCTCTGCCCCTCCCTCTCAAACCGCTCCCTCTCCAACTTCCGCTTCTTCGCCGCCCGCTGCAGTTCCGCCTCATCCTCACCACCAGGACCAGTACCCGCAGCACCAACTTCGCCAGCCGCAGCCGGCGTCCCTGCCCCCGTCGTAGCAGCAGAGGACCCCTCGCGCTTCGCGGTGCGGTTTAAACTGCGCAAATCTATCTTCTCGGGGTTCTGGCAGTGGTAGAGTTTCCTGCCGATGCGTTTGAGGTTTTGTGGCAGGGCGGTTGTGGGGGTGTGGGTTGTTTGGTAGGTGGAGAGGGTTGTGGTGCAGGCGGTGAAGATGAGGGAGAGTTTGGTGCGGAGGGCTGTGAAGAGGTGTGAGGATGGTTGTGAAGGGTTGGAGAGGCTGGAGAGGCTGGAGGAGGAGGAGGAGGAGGTGGTGGTAGTGGATTGTGGTGATAATGGGATGAGTTTTGTGTCGATGTAGAATTCCGCTAGTGGTTTATCGGCTAGGAGTAGGGCGGAGAGCCATATTTGAGAGGGCGTGTAGAGGAAATATACGTCTGTCAACTGTGCGGCGGAACGGAGGATTTCGCGGGTGTTGTGATGTGCCTTGGCGATGCGGGAGGTTATAGAACCACCACCACCACTGGGCTTCGCGTCCGCCGTTGAGGATGGAGGCAGTGGGGCTGGCGGGAGCGATTGGATGGCCTTTTGCAGACCAGCTGCAGTTTGCTCTGGGTGGTGCGGTCCCGGCGCGCCCTCCCCGCGCGCAATGGCGTTTAGTTCCATGATCCCACCTTCCAAGCCGCGGAAAGGGTGGCGGACGTCAAAGGTGAAGCGGAGGCCCTGCGTAAGGAGGAATTCGGGCGCGATGATATCCTCCGGCGTGGAGTTTGGGATGTGTTCTGCAAATGCACGCAGGGACATGTAGTAGTTTTCTGTCTTTGTGGCGAGGAAGAGCGCGCAGGGCATGATGGATTTGGGGTGGTAGGTCATGGGGGAGTTGGTGAGGTAGAAGCGGCGGAGGTATTGGATTGCTGTGGCCTACATGCAACACGGATATTGATCAAAGCACCAGCTCATTAGCAATTGATCCAGGGCCAAAAGAGAAAAAAAAAAAAAAAAAAAAAAAGATAGCTCCCCCATCCAGCGATTTGTCCAAATAAAGAAGAGGACTAATACAGACCCTAACCACCGTCGGCAGCGGCGGCTTATACTCATCTCCCAACTCCATCGTCTTCTCACAATAATACCTCACCAGCTCCAGCTCCTCCTCCGTCGTCAGACACTCAATCTCTTTCTCCTTCTCCTTCTCCGCTACCTGCTCACCATTACCCACCCCCGTCTCCGCCGTTTTGCCATCATCCGCATCGCCAGTTGCGTTTGGCGTACCGCTCCCGGACCTCGGGCCTGTTGTTGTGATTGTTGTTGCTGCTGCTGGTTGCTGCGATCGCACATCCCTTGTAGCCCGCCGTATCGCGGCCCTAACTCGCTCACCGGCAACGGCATTGGTATTGGCCCGTATCGAGTGGAGGGATTCTTCGGTGAAGGACCAGAGGCGATACTGTGAGGAGGTACGGTAGATGTCGTCTTCGAGCATGGTTATTGCAGGATGTGTTTAGGGTTTTTATGTTTATGTTTTTTCGTAAGGGAGAGGTAGAGGTGTGCGGCTTTTGGCGTGGGGTTTAGGTTAAGTTCATGACGTTATTGATGGTATGTATAGCATGGGGATTTTGTAGCCATCGGAGTAATTTTGGGGTGGGGAAGTGAGGAAGAAAGAAAGCTGGCCTGGAGAGGAATGGTTAGCTAACGAGACCCCAGAGTTTTACATGGGCAGCTTAAATATTTATGAGCTCCGTACACACACAACCACACAGACAAAATACGTATCCAAGTATTATTGAAGATATAATTATATAGATAGCCATAGACAAAAATAAAAATTAAAAAAATTCTCAAACCAATCAGTATATCAACTCATCCAATCACTCAAAACCAAATCAGTAAAAACGACGTCAAAAATAAGAGTAATAATAGAGATTTTGCGTGTAATGGGAGAAGCTCAATTCTTTCGGTTTCCTTGCTCCAGACAAACAAAATAAATAAAAATAAAAACAAAAGGCAAAAGTAGAAAAGAACACATATCATTCGCCAGGCACCGTACGCTTGCTTCCCTTTCCCCCCTCCTCCATCAATCTGTTCCAAGTTCGCGTCATATTTCGGATGTGATTTGGCAGAGAGGGATGAACATAATGGTAACAATAGCAGAGAGGAATTATAAATGAAAACATAGAGGCTCAGCCAATAATAGAGGGTTAAAACATGCGTAGAACGGAGAGCTCTCTCGAGACTAGAGGTCAAGGAAGGGGAGAACGAAAAGGCAAAATAAACATAGGAATTCGGCGCTGTGTGCGATGCAGCTCCCCCATACGACTTTCTCCATATATAGATTCGTCAAATGGATCATGCAAGAACCGGGGGAAAAAAATGGGGAAATAATAATAACAAAAAACCATTATGGCTCCCCAAGAAGACGAGCCGTAACGTCACCCATATATGCTTCCTCCAATTCGTAATCCTCGCCGCCCATCCGGTCAATGCCAACATACTTGAATGCGGACACCACCCGGGACACATCGAATCCCATATGGCAGAATCGATCGACAAGGTCTTTATTGTAGCCGTCGTAACTGTAGTTAACACACACACTGGTTAGCAGAGGGTTGTTTAAATATATGCAGCTTTTAAGAGGGAAGGAAACAAATACGCAACCGCTTGACGGAAGAAGAAAGGGTTGAGGAGAGAGTGGGGTTCCATACGCAGCCAATTGCTCCTTTTCCTGCTCTTCTTTCGACTTCTGTTGCTGCATACGGATAGAATCATCCGTGGCGCCCCCGCTGCTTTCACCCAGGTGCTGTTTGGGCGCGCCGGCGTACTGCACGGCCCACTGGCGCGCAACCCGCTCAAACTCCTTGGGGTTCCGCATGAGCATGTTGGCCACCTCTGCATCTTGGGGGTCTTTGGGCTCGGGTGTGCTAAGGAGAGACTGGAGGGAGAGCAGGGCGGATTTGATGGTGAGGACAGGAGACCAGGCGGTAGAGAGGGTGTCGAGACAGATGGCACCCTATGATATATGATGATAAACGGAATTATCCGTTAGCAAAATCCTTAGTATTTCCGTGGGTGGAGATGATGCGCTTCCGGTGGGTTTGCGTGCGTCTGACTTACAGTTTGACTGCTGACATTCGGATGCCAGACCTTGGTTATAAACCTCATCACAGGCGGGCGGAAAGGGTATTCGGAGGGTATCTTGATATCAATGTAGTAAGTTCCGTCCTCGTAAGGAGATCCGGGAGGGCCTCGAAAGGAGCCTCTCAAATGTGTCAAGTCATCCCCGCCCCCAACCGGATCAGCAAAGATATGCGAGTGTTGGTCTGCATGGATATCTGCGAGCTCCTTGGCGATACGGCGGGTACGGTTCGAGGTCATAGTGAAATAAGAGGGGGGGGTAATCGGTTTATTTAGAGAAGTATTTATGTCTTTTCTTTCAGTCGGTACGTGAGATCTGTTTATTCCCGTGCTTTTCGAGCAGGTTGTCGTTGTGGGGGGGTGACGACGATGGCTTTGTAGTTTTACCGTTGGGGCTTATCAAAAAAGGGAAAATGCGGAAGGGCCGAGCACCCCGTTCCAAGGCAGACACGCTAGCTTTTGCTAAATAGTACACCAAGTCGACGAAGGGCCAAGGCGGGAGACTGATTGGTTTACTCTGGTTGGGATATGGGGAAGCCCCACAGTATCAGTCATCAAGGCATAGAAGAAAGTTATTCAAAATGGGGAGAGGTGCAAAGAAGGGAACAACGCTGGGAAAAACGTATGGGCGTTGGAGCATGCAAAAGAGTCAAGGGGAGGAGTGAACAGGGAGGGATGCGCGGGAACTATATATATGTTCTTGGTCAAAGGGTAGCTAGGATAGTTAACTAGTCACTCACATACCAGGCTTTATTCGTTTTCAGTAGCCAACGGACAGAGCGGCAACGCTGGCGGTCAATACGAAACGGAGACCAGGGGAAGCAACTGGCGGGAGTATTCAGACGAGGGTTTCAACAAAATAATGACTGGAAACTCTCTCTCTCTGAGGGCCAGTGATTTGAGTGAGTCACCTTGGTTGGGGCTGGTGATGTGATGGTGACAGGGAGCGGAAGGAGACAAGAGGATGAGGCTATAGACACGAGGAAGAAGAAGTAGAAGGTGGATTTGCTGCAATGCTTGAACGCGAAGAAGGTAAGCTGGTCTGGTGGTGAAGAAACCGTTGGGAATGGTTGAGGGTTGTACAGTACGATGTCGAAAGAAAGAAGAAGAAGAAGAAGCAGAAGAAGAAGAAGAAGAAGTAGAAAGAAAAGGCTTGGGGAAGAAGATCGCTGGCAGTTGGCGTTGGTCTCCGGGTTTGGGGGGGGACAGACAGGAGGACAGGAAGCGGTTTAGGCTGGACAAAGGCTGCGTCCAGACAGAATATACTCAAAGAAGCCAACTAAAATAATTAAATAGTTAAAAGTAAGTTACAGACTGTCTGTATATATAACATCTATGGCCTGAATGAATTCAAAGGGGGAATCATCGGCAGATAGATCTAGATATAATACTTATAATACTGAAATGAAAGCCCAAACTACGGGCAGTTCAGGCAAGACACGACCACGCTGGGCAGCAAATGATGAAGTGGCAGCCTTCTTTCTCGGTCGACGGGATTCTACGACAAAATGCAGCAGTCATAAACCGACTTTTGGGGGCGGGATGCTTGAGGGGGTTGTTGAAGCCTTGCCGTGGGCGAAGTAAAAATGACAGGGCGAACAAAATGGCTGGATGACAGAGCCTGATCTGCAATCGCATCGTCGGAGGTTGATTTGATCTATCTGGGGTGTTGTTTATAAATAAATAGGTGCCTTGACATATGATCCCTAAGAGGAGTTGCTCATATCTAGTACTTGTATCTAGGTTGTGTCACATTGATACATTAACACTGCTAGCTACGCAGGTCTGGAAGAACTATGCGCAGTGTAACCAAGATATCTACATAGGTCTAATAGTATTCCTATAGAGTATAGAGCGTAAAAACCATTACGTTCCATTTTGCTCTGTATTATTATTACCTTGCCATTGTCAGATGTCTGTGTCTGTTAATCCTCACATCCAAATGTATAGATATCTACACTACACTGTATCTGACGTGGGGTGACTGGATCCATCACGTGATTGTGATTGTATACTCTTGGCATATATCTTGGCGGCTGACTAAATCGAGCTGAGCTTGGATGAGGAAATCAAACATCAAACACATCAAACCGACCAAACTGCTATTGCGTTGCTCTTCGCCAGATCACATTCCATTGAGCACGACAAAGATACCAACCTCCTCCCTCACCAACAACTATTTAGCTGCTCATCCCAACTACCAGTACCTCGAAGGATACATTCCGGGTTCATCACCTTGTCTTCTCATTTCTCCTGTTTCGTTGTCCGCTCTTCAACATCCAGGAAGAAGAAAACAACCTGTTGTCGCATCCCCCCCCCGTACCTGGCGTAAGCTTGCCACAATGGTATGTTGACTGGTCCCCTTCATTGCATAGCTTTAAACTATCCGTAATTTCCAATACACTAGATACTCACCTATATGCGTCTACAGGGAAATCAACAGTCAAATATGGGTGGCGGCGGCCCCGGTGAAGGCCAGGATGACAAGGACAAGAAGGTACGCTTTTTCCAATAACCTCCCCAAAAGCTCTCAGCCTCTTCACGCGCCTACTATCCTTACAATCGAGAGTATATATACTAACGCCGGAACAGAAGGAGAAGCCAAAGTATGAGCCTCCTCCACAGCCAACCACCAGAATCGGCCGGAAGAAGCGGAAGCAGGCCGGCCCCAACGCCTCCGCAAAACTCCCTGCCATCTACCCAACTTCCCGCTGCAAACTGAAATACCTCCGCATGCAACGCATCCACGACCACCTGCTACTTGAAGAGGAATATGTCGAGAACCAAGAACGCATCCGCAAGACAAAGGCTCAGGCGTCTCAACGCCCCGCAACCAGCGATGATCTCGAGTCCCTAGATCGGAATGCAGACGAGCGAAGCCGCGTCGATGACATGCGCGGGAGTCCCATGGGCGTCGGTAATCTGGAAGAGATGATTGACGACGACCACGCCATCGTCTCCACCGCGACTGGGCCAGAGTATTACGTTTCCATCATGTCCTTTGTCGACAAGGACCTCCTGGAACCTGGCGCGAGTATCCTACTGCATCACAAGTCCGTCTCCGTCGTTGGCGTTTTAACAGATGACGCAGACCCGTTGGTCTCTGTCATGAAACTAGATAAGGCACCTACGGAATCCTACGCGGATATTGGGGGACTGGAGTCTCAGATCCAGGAAGTTCGAGAAGCCGTCGAACTCCCTCTGCTCCATCCAGAACTGTACGAGGAAATGGGTATCAAACCGCCCAAGGGTGTCATTCTCTATGGCGGCCCGGGGACGGGGAAGACACTGCTGGCCAAAGCCGTCGCGAACCAAACAAGCGCCACATTCCTACGAATCGTCGGTAGTGAATTGATACAGAAATACCTGGGCGACGGGCCCCGATTAGTCCGCCAGATTTTCCAGGTAGCGGCCGAACACGCCCCGTCCATTGTCTTTATCGATGAGATCGATGCGATTGGAACGAAGCGATACGAGTCTACATCAGGCGGCGAGCGGGAGGTGCAACGAACCATGTTGGAGCTGCTCAATCAGCTCGACGGCTTCGATGACCGCGGCGACGTCAAGGTGATCATGGCCACGAATAAGATCGAAACCCTCGACCCTGCCCTGATCCGCCCAGGCCGTATCGATCGGAAGATCCTCTTTGAGAATCCTGATCGTAAGTTGTTTCCTCCTCTGTTTCCTCCTCTCCTACCCCAACCTTGTATTTCGCTATTTTACTAACCACTCACACACCCGCAAAACACAGAAAACACCAAGAAAAAGATCTTCACCCTGCACACCTCCAAAATGTCCCTAGGCGACGACGTCGATCTCGACGAATTCATCAACCAAAAGGACGACCTCTCCGGTGCAGATATTAAAGCCATATGCTCCGAGGCGGGTCTGATGGCGCTGCGCGAGCGGCGGATGCGTGTGCAGATGGCTGATTTCCGCTCAGCGAGGGAGAGGGTGCTGAAGACGAAGAGTGAGGGGGAGCCAGAGGGGTTGTATTTGTAGTCTTCTTTTTTTTTTCAATTTTAATCAGGTTGATTTTTCTGTAGCGGTAGATGGTGAGATAGCCAGAAGGGCATGGATGTGAGGCGACGGAATGGAATGATTAACTTTGAATAAAATGATTAGTTAGCGGGGATCCCCCCCCGTTCTACTGCTTGCCTTTTATATATATATATATTTATAGTAGAGCAGAGAAGGGAGACTGTTTTAGATTTTCCTTTGATGGAAATAATAGCTCTTCTTTGCGTAGAGGGGGCTAACTATAAACTATGTGGGTATTGAGGAAGTATAGAGGAATGAGAAGATGTATGGTATGGTGCTTCTGCTGCGGGAGGGAGGGGAATTACTTTACAATTGTGAGGAAGAGTAGTTGGAATTTTTCTACAGAGGATATTGTTGATAACAAACCCCCTTTCCCCTCCTCCTCCCCCTTCCCCCCTCTTGGGCAAGTGTATATGGCCATAAGGACCTATGCAACTAAAATCATGAGCTACAACTCTGTTTGTAACTCTGTTTGTGCTGGAGATGCGACGGCCCTTGAGCAACCCTGTCTCTTCATCATGTCCTTGCTCAAGCACAGCTTCTTTTCCAAAGCCATTCTTTGTTCGGTGGATGTTGATGCTGATTAGTAATTCCCTGCCTAGTTACAGACTTCTTTGACATCTGCTAACACAATGTCAATCATATCATATCACAGATGGTGCAGAAGCCTCCTGAAGCCAGCCTTGGCCCTCCTTTCTCCTTCCAGTTTGCTAGAGTTAGAGGTTTTGCGGGGAAGCTCTATCCCTCCCATGCCATGCCAAATATTAACTTCATAACTTCAGGAACTCCAGATGTCCGTCCCTCCCCCCCCACAAATGGCCCGGCTCCTCGGCTCGCTGCCATGGGTAGCTCATCTCCAGCCAAGGTCCCGTCGCTCTTTGCGGGGGCATGCGGAGTAGGGAGCAACTCTCCCTCGGGTTCTAATCAGTGATCAGCTTCAGCGCCGCGTTTTCGTCGCATTTGGCGCATACTGCTGCTGTTGTTCAGATAGGCCCCCGCCCTCTCCGGCCGTGCTGCCATTGGGGCCAAATATCTCCTTGCCGGGAATGGATTTGTATTGGATGCTATGAGCATTATTACATGCACAATAGTTAACTAAATGGTTAGCTAGCTTCGCTGCTCGTCTCACGTCATCATAATACGCACAGCGGCACAGGGCTCTTATAGACGCCGATATCCAAATAAATATTAAATGCTGTGTGCTTTCTCTAGACTCGATTTGTTTGCACCTTGCACTATTCATGTATAAACTGTCCGTCTTCTTCTTCTTCTTCTTCTTTTTTTTTTTTTTTTTTATTTTATCTTGACGTTGAGGACGGTCCGTTGTGTTAACAACTACTCCGTCAATCAAACACAACGGGGTTTTGTTTCCTTTCCACTCCGCCTCGTATACGATACCCCCCTTGGAACCTATTAGAGGAGATTTTAGAGCATTCTGCAGAATACGCAAAAGACTCTTATTCTTAGGTTATCTTTTTTCTTCCTTTCTCTCTTCTCTCGCCAATCGTGATATTTCACACAAGCCCTACTTCCCCCCAACTTGCAAACATGGAGTATTTCAAACCAGAACGATACCTAGACTTGCCCTCCAAGGATATACTTTCGTGGATTTTCGACAGTCCGTCGTATGATCAAGATAGACCGGTGAGCCTCAATATTTTTGCAATGTCTATAGTAAATTTTAAGTTGTTGTCTGTATCGATAACAGAAAAGAAAGAAGCTAACTCCAGGCATGTATATTTCTTTCTTTCTAGGTCTACATAGATGCTAAAGATCCCTCTTGCTCGATCTCATTCAATCAAGCTAGAAAGATCATCCGGCAGCTCATTGCGGGGCTGAGGGCTGCTGGGTTCAAAAAGGGCGATTGCCTCAATATACACTCCTTCAACGATGTATGTGGTTCAAATCAAATTGCACTCCTGGCAAACTGCGCTAAAGTTCCCCAAATTGAACCGGGGAGAAAAGCGGGAAATAAAAACGACGGGAATTTAAAAGATGGAGATTTTGGCACCCGAAATTCCTATATATATCAAATGTTAACGGGGTACAAATAGGTCTATTACTCCATGATCTTTCTCGCCGCTGTCGGCGCAGGTGGTGTTTTCGCAGGTACGAATCCGGGCTATACGCAATTCGAACTTGCCCATCATATCAAGACTGCGAAAGTATCGTTTTTGATTTCAGAGCCGGAAATCTTGGACAACCTCGTTGCAGCAGCAAGGGATACCAATATCCCGACCTCGAACATCTGGGTATTCAATACGCAGGGCCGACCCGTACCGCCGAGCCATAGGTCATGGACTGAGCTGCTAAAGCATGGCGAGGCCGATTGGGTTCGTTTCGATGACCCCGAAATCTGCAAGAATACCACGGCTGCTCGTCTTTTCAGCAGTGGGACGACGGGCTTGCCGAAGGCTGCAGTTATTAGTCATCAGAATTTGATCGCTCAGCATATGGTAGCGGAGGAAAATAAGAATATTACCTTTCAGGTACGTTACGTTATCATTATCCCCCTAACTTACTTTTTCCAATAGACAGCAAACAAAATGTCCCCATACACTGAATCATAAATTCACCAGAACAGAAAAGCAAAACATATGTATATCTGACACTTTGCATAGATTTCCCGAGTGGTAGCAATTCCATGTTTCCACGCTGCAGCCGTGCCGGCAGCTCATGTCAGCGCTCTGAAGGCCGGCCATGCACTGTATATGATGCGACGCTTCGAGCTGCTACCATTCCTAGAAGCATGCAAAAAATACAACGTCTCTGACATCATCACCGTTCCCCCCATGGCTGTCGCTATCGTGAAATCGCCATATGCCACAAAGTTGTACTTGAAAAATACGAAAAAGGGCACCGTCGGTGCAGCACCGTTGGATAAGGGTGTCCAGGCTGCCTTTCGGTCCATCATGGGCCCCGGCGCGAGCTACACGCAGGTGTGGGGCATGACTGAAACGACTTGCGTCGCGACAAGGTTTGCATACCCCGAAAACGACGATACGGGATCTGTGGGGAGGCCAGTGGCATCGCTTGAGATGAGGTGAGTTTTTGATCGCTCCTCACCCCTTTCCCCTTTGCCTCCCCTTTTTTTTCTTTTTTTTCTTTTCTTTTCTTTTTGCGCTCTGATTTTTCCAATTCTAAATAAATGTTTTACCTAGATTAATCGACGATGATGGCAAAAACATTTCTGCCTATGGCGTGCGGGGTGAAATCTGCGTACGCGGCCCCACAATTATCAAGGGCTATTTCGAAAACCCCGGCGCGAACGCTGAATCCTTTGACGGCGACTGGTTCAAGACTGGCGACATCGGCTACTGCGACGAAAAGACGAAGAAATGGTACATCGTCGACCGGAAAAAGGAGCTGATTAAAGTCCGCGGGTTCCAAGTTGCGCCTCCGGAGCTTGAGGCGGTGCTACTCTCGCACCCGCTGATTATGGACGCGGCGGTCATTGGCGTGTCGTTTAAGGGGGATGAGGAGGAGAAGATTGAGCACCCGCGCGCGTACGTGGTGCGCCAGCCTATCCCGGCCAGTCGGGAGTTGACGGAGAGGGAGCTGCAGGAGTTTGCGGGGGCGAAGTTGGCGAAGTATAAGTATTTAACTGGCGGGGTGAAGTTTGTTGAGGCGATTCCGAAGAATGCGAGTGGGAAGATTTTGAAAAGGTTGCTGAGGGAAGAGGCGAAGAAGGAGATTGAGCAGGGCTTGGTTTCGAAATTGTAAATTTCTCTATTCTTGAGTCGAGATTGGGTGGGGGGGTCTGTATGTTTTCTTTACCGGACGTGCGCCTGGTGGAAACACGACAAGTTGGACTATTCTCCTCTATCTAAAAATCACGTATGTGGCAAGTTCAATCATAGAATATTGCCGACTACTTGAATTTCCGGAGGAGGGGAATCAGATATTGCGGCTGAATGCCCTTCATTAAACACTATTTTTTCGAAGCGGGAAGTACCGTGCAAACCAACCTTCGGATGAGTGCCATGCTCCCTAGTAGAGCAGGGATGGCTTTCTGATTCTGATACTCCTCCTCCAGTATTCCGCTTTAGTCCGACGGCAAATACCAACCTTCACATTAGTATTGACGTGTTACCTCATTGTTCATAGAACGCCTCTATCACCCTTGAATACCATCCAGGATTCCCCTGCCGATATAGCCTCAGTGCAGAAGCAAAATCTTGCTGTTTGAGAGCAGGCGGGATCGCAGAATGGATCAGTAGGGATAGGTTAGATATCTCGCATGGTGCCAGCGAAGGCTGTCTCCCAAACGATGACACCCGGTAAAGCGGTAGTAACTTGTCGAAAACCATGTTGCACATGTACATGTACATGTAACATACATTGTGTCCAAAAGGTCACCATGGCATAAGGGGGGAATTGGACCGCCATAGCGGATAGAAATATGTGCGGCCATGTTATTGATTTCTAGCTTGAATGCCGACGCAGAGGCCCATTGATTCATCCGCAAACTGGATTATATTGCCCGAACTCCATAACACTTGCCATCTCGTCTGGACAAAAGTTTCCGCCCCGCAACAGAGGGAGACATCCCAAGTCCCAACACCACCAATCGCATTTTGTCGGAGACTTAAGCAATGCGAACCATATGGATCAAACCAAGGCTGAGGGCTAAGAAAAGTTTACATTCGATTCCATTCCATGTCGCGTTGAAGTGAATCCCAATCGGTGGATTCCAGCAATTTTTCGGCCCTTATCCAAAAATAAAATGTCGCCTGGCGAAAGAAAAGTAGGACTACCGGTATAACCCACCGCACGAATCACCGTCCCCTTGAACATTTGGCAGTGTCAAATGCACGGCAGGTTGTAACTGATGGTTGTAAAACACCTACGGCCACCTTTGCGCGTAGAGAGCTAGAGAGGCGGGAATGACCCCCTTCTTCTTTTTTTTTTTTTTAGCAGTGTGGACACAAGCAGAATGAAAAGTGAGGGACTTACTCACTGTAGATCTCATCTGACAAAAGTGGTCGCAGCACAGTTGTTGTAGAACACCAGGAAGGGAAACGGTCTTGCCAGCAGAATCTGGCAAACCCTCCCTCCTCCCTGTGCGGGGAGAAATGGAAAGTTCTGGGCATTGCGCTTGGATTCTAGTGTGGCTGGAAATAGAATTAATGAGGGAGCAATATTAAATGAAGTGCTGCTGAGCACTCTGTGGCTGCTACGAAAGAATGCAAGTGGAATATCTGATTGGGGCGTTGATGGGTTGCCCGTGATGAAGCAGCAAAGAGCGTAGGAGGAAGGCCAGCACATACATCAAGCCGTTGTCGCCGGGTGTTGCGTTTCCTAATAGCAAACAATTAGCAGGTTTACGGTAGGGTTTGTCCGTGGCAACATACACGGTTACAGATGTGCATGTAGCACTGAAATAAGAAGGGCCTTAAAAACGAAACATTGAATCGGCGTACGTACTAGTCAGCTCACCTCTAGGACTAACTAGTGCCAATGACTTTGAGGGAGATATTTTAAACTACCTAATCGGTAGGTAGGTCTCAGAAAGCTCCAATTCGCCCGTGTGCTGATAGCGACCTGGAAACAAAGAGAGAGAGAGAGAGAGAGATAAGAAACGAAGCATTCCATGCTTTAATTTTATATCGTCAAAGATGGGAGATAAATCGTACATGCGAGAAGGCGAGATTGCCATGTAAGCAAGTGAATATATGGATAAGAGCGCGGAAGATACTTCGCAAAAATCATTGAAACATAAAAAAATAAAAATAAGAAGAAAACGACTTGAAATTTCCAGCATTGCTGCTCTCATAAACCTGCATACTAGCTGTTTCCTTTAGTTCATTTTTTCTCTTTTCTTCTCACTAGAAAATCACAACGAATTTGTACATGTACAATAAAGAGAAGGTAATGATGAGGAATATATAGAAATTTGGCGGTCGTCCAAACAATGGGTGGCAGCTTGCTGCTCGCATACACATGTCTGTCCAAAGAAGCCTCATAGAGGTAGACAGAAGCTTAGCACCACCTCCACCAAATAGTGTCATAAATCAGCAGACTCAACTTAGACCCCATCACCCCAGATCCCAACCACACCCATGGAGAAACCCAGGCCAAGCGTCCACATCCTCAGCCTCTGAAACTTGCGCTCTTTCTCCATCTCAGCTTGGACAGCCTCACCATTGACATTCAAATCGTCGTCCGATTGCGGTGTCGCTACGCTCGTGGCTGGAGCACCGGCCGCGGCGGTGGGAGATGAAGCTTCCTCCTCGCCCACAATTTCAATCTCGCTTCCGTTCCCGTTGGAGTCTTCCTCCTCGCTTCTCACAGGTACGGATCCTCCGGTACTAGCGCTCGCACCAGCACGGGCAGATCCCCATGAGATAACACCAAATCCGGATCCGTTGCAACGACAAAATCCACCCAAACTTCCTGATAGCGACCTCCATGTCAGTGTTTCGCGGTTGTACCACCATTCCAGGCCTACCCCGCCAATTAGGGCGGTAAGTGCCGTCCAGATCAGGTACGGGTGTCTTCTACGCGGGGACGACAGAGTGAAGGCGGTGAAGAGAGTAATGGCGGTGATGTGGCTAAGTCTGAGGACATGCTTGCTGGTGCGCACTTGCAGTTCTTTGAGGGTTCGGGAAGCGCTGGAAGCGTCGGGAAGGGATTGGAGGGATGGAATTGCGATCGTGGACGTGGCATATGAAATGCCCTATATATTTGATGATTCGTACATGTGTCAGTCCTTAAACCCGGATTGCCAAGTCTCTATTTATTCTCGGGGGCATTTGTATTCCCCTAGCCCGATGTTCGTTGTATGGCAGTAGGGCCATTGTATGCAGTAATCGTTTAATGGGAGATCACATACGGTTAAGAGGCCCAGGGAAATGGTCCCCACAAACTTGGAAACTGTAATAGGACAAGCCATGGCGGGCGATTGATATCTATTGTCGCATACGATAGACTAAAACTGGTAGATGTGCGCTGATGAGTTTGCCCCGGAGTTCGCCACGCGACGGGCTCACGGATGCTAGGTAGATAGCGGCAGCAACAATGGCTACCCCGCCAATGGGAACTTATGCCCTATAGATAAGAATGTCCTAAGCAGCAAAAAGATGTGGATTAAAGAAAAAAAAAAATCTGTTGAAGGTGTTTTTGCCTGCGGTGTTGTTAGAGGAGAGGTTGATGTCAAGATGCTGGAACAGTCATCTTGGCCTATTTAAATAGCCAATCACAGCAGTCGGGCATTCCATACAGCCAAACCAGCAGGAATCGCATCACATTGCACTCGGAAAACCAAAATATTTCCGTTAGTTCGTTTCCTGAAGAGACTCTGACCCAATCGGATCCTTTATCAGGCATCTCTTTACTCGATATTAGCTCGCTGTCCAGAGGATGCTCCCGACAACGCCAGTTGCAGCGGAACCAACCATCTCTGGGCGCTCACAAGAGCACAAGAGCTGCTCAGGCGGCTGTGCCGAGGCTGTTTTTACCCCAGAAGTCAGCAGAATCGTCATCGCATTGAACCTAAAGATAAGATCGATACTGCGAGTAAACAGAAGCATAGTAGAGGGTTGAATATAATAATGAGATATGGAGCTCCCACCGCTAGGGTATAAGCTTTTGGTCTTTCTCCAGCCTCAGTGCATCAAACAGCTCTTTTCCCGGCAACTAGTTACTCCGTATGCTCTAGCCGGTTGTTGCGCCGAGGTCCGATAGCCCCTAGTTACAAGTTACGGGCGTATAACTACGTCTAGATTCCCCCACACCTGTATCATAACTGTACGTCAACGTTTCGGAGTCCAAGCAAACTGAAAGAGACGGTCCAAATGTCTTCCCTTCGTTCCGGTGGTTAAAGCTCGACAATTATCTTGCCCATCAAACTGTCACATCTCAGGGCTCCTCGGTTCACCCACGTGAACAGACAACCAACATTGCATTGGAACCCGCATCAAATCGCTAGATACAGCTTTCTTCTTCTCTCTAAATCTTCATCTCCAGCATGTCTCTCCCCAAGTCTGCATACGTCAGTGAGGTGTGGAAGGATGGAATCTTTGGTATGCTTCTCCTACCTCCTTATCACCATAGCATAGCTCTCTAATACAGCTACATCCCGAAGTCAAAGGCATCGAAACTAACCATCTCTCTCCGAATCGGCAGATAACAAAGTTGTATTCTGTACCGGCGGTGCCGGTACCATTTGCAGCGCCCAGGTGCGCGCAATGGTACATCTAGGCGCCAACGCATTCATTCTCGGGCGGAATGTCGAGAAAACTGAGGGAATGGCCAAGGACATTGCTACAGCACGCCCTGGAGCAAAGGTTATTGGACAAGGCGGTGTTGACGTCCGGAGCTTTGATAGCCTGAAAAGTGCCGCTGAGCGCTGTGTGAAGGAGTTGGGCGCAATCGACTTCGTTATGTACGTTTATACCCTTCTAGATTCCTTCCCCATGCAATGCAAGAGCCGGGCTAGGAAATTTTACGAGTAAACCTGAGCTTTACGTGCCCCGGTTTCTGGAGGTATGGTGATATGTATGCTAATCTAGATCATTGCCAAAAATTCAGTGCTGGCGCAGCTGGGAACTTCCTTGCCTCAATCGATCAGCTTTCAGTCAACGCCTTCAAATCCGTCATGGACATCGATGTCTTGGGATCGTATAATACTCTCAAAGCCACCCTCCCTTACCTCCTCGAATCCGCTGAAAAACACAAGTCGGACGGAGTTACTCGTGAGTTCTAGTGTGCAATTGTGCTTGCCGCATACGCGTCACAAAATATACTAATTTTACGTTTTTACCGCCAAACACAGCCTCTCCTACGGGCACAGGCGGACGCATTATTTTCGTCAGTGCAACAATTCACTATACCGGAATCCCGCTGCAGACACATGTCGCCGTTGCCAAAGCCGGAGTAGACTCGCTGTCGAATAACGTGGCAATCGAGTATGGCCCGCGGGGCATCAATTCTAACATAATATCACCCGGACCGATCGGAGGCACAGAGGTACGTTGTCCCTGGACTACGTTCTTGAAGTTATTTCTAATTTTCGCGTATATCGCTCTCCAACACCGATTGCACGTACCTAATCATTTTAAATAAAACGATATATACACTTACACTTACCTGCGAAATCACCAGGGTATGCAACGTCTCTCTCGCATGCAGGATGCAAAGAGCCAGATGAGTGGAATCCCGTCAGGGAGATGGGGCACCGTTAAAGAAATCGCAGATGCCACCATCTACCTCTTCTCAGATGCTGGAAACTATGTCAATGGCGCAAATGTCGTCGGTACGTAATACCAACAGACACTATTATCTCCCCCCCCCTCCCCCCTCTTCTTCCCCTCCGTACGAAACAACGGGAAACCGAATTTTATTTTCCGATTATAGAAAATTGTCTAAATACTAACTGTCCTGTTTTCGGTTACAATTAGTGGACGGTTCTGCCTGGCGTTTCCAGAACCAGGCCAGCAAGGCCGGCTTCGAATATCCGGACTTCCTCCTTTCCGGCCAAGAGGTGACGGGTGTGGCAGGATTGAAGAAATCGAAGTCGAGTCTTTAAAATGCTGTATGGATGTATAAATGTTAATATGAGTCTGAATTAAATTGGATGCTAGGGATGAATTAGATATCCACATTGTTGGTCCCTTTACTAGTTATTTCTATTTCCTATATTTTTGTTGTGCCTAAGCATTCAGTACGGAGTAGTTAATATGTGTATATTTTTTGCTCACGGCACTCAGTTGGATTTGAGATGGGATTCTGTTAATCGGTGCGTGGCCGGTTTCCACCTTATCCTATATCTTTAGCCTCTTGAAGATAAAAAAGATAAAATATTGATAAAATATATTTTTTTATATTAATATTAAATGACTCGGCGAAAAATATAGCCGTCCGGCAGCTAACTAACTATCTGTGTTGGCGCTTAGTCATAAATAATGGGACAAAATAAACTAACTGGGCTAGACAGTCAGCACCAATTACATGCCCTTGTAGCTCAGTCGTAGTAGCGCATGACTTGTAGTAATGAGATCATGAGGTCCGCGGTTCAATCCCGCGCGGGGGCAGGTTATCCTTTTTCTTCTTTTTTCTTTTTTCTCTGCGTCCGCTTGATATTTGGAGGGAGCTTTTTTTTTTTTTCCTTCCCTTTGCTTCTTTCCATTTCTTATTTTTTGAAATGACGTAAGTCTGACAAGTCTGTTGGTCCAAAGATATAGTTATATGTCTCCTAAGGTGTACGTACACAGGTTGTGTGTACCCCTTGTCTTCACAGTTCTTTCTTACTTTGAACATATCAGCATCTGAATGCAGGCCTGTTGAAATATGCAATTATTGGAGAGTCTGCACTTGAGTTCACAAGAGGCCAAATCTTCACTTGGTTACTCTGGACTTCATACGGTCGAATCGAAAGGACCAGCGAAAAGGACGAGGTGGAAACTTGATCCCTTGCAGGTCTATTGCCCTAAGCCTTGGTATTCTCAATCAACTCACCTTTTGAGAATCCCCCGGTCCAGTTACCTCGAGAAGCTGGAAAACGGCCATTTAAAAGTTCCCGCGCTAGCGGTGGCTGAGTCGAGCGAGTGGCGTTGAACCCAAACATAACTTTTTCCGGCCCTCGCAAATCAAACAATCAGCGCGCATGGCTAAGTGGTTACGGCGTCCCGCTCGTAACGGGAAGATCGTCGGTTCGACTCCGACTGTGCGCATTTGTCGAGTTATTTAAAATTATCTAGTTATTCCTTTTAATTTTTTGGTTATGCTTCCGCTGTTCATTTTCATTTAACCTCTTGGGCTAGGAGGATTTATATATTTTTTGCCAATCGTCCTCATGTCAATGGCATATCCTAGTATTGCTTTTCGTGGGCGGCTGGCTGGAAAGTCTGTGAAAGTGAATTAATTGTGTTCATTTGACGACGTATTCTTTATTAATATTGAGGAATGTACGAGGAAACCATACATTACCTTTGTTTCCCCGGGGCTTGGGAAATAAATACGGCGGGTATGTTGATGAGAGCATGCTATATCTGTATGCTTATATACAGATATCAACTCAGGTTTCCTCGCTAAGACTAACTAACGCGAAGTTGCATCAGAACACAAAGATTATGGGTATATGCAATTGGAATTTCTGCGGGAAACTGTAGTCATCATTGAATATAAGTCACTTGTATATATATACAGGAGTTGTATCGCCAAGAATAACACAGCCCAACGCCTAGCTTTTTGGGATGAGCAGGATACGACAGTGATGTCCATCGTGCGCTCGGTTCTGTGAAGGACTGAGTGTTGTAGCAATTGAAAGTCAAAGGGAGGATTTCATTCATCGGGGTTGAGATAGGTGAATGGCAATGAAAGAAGAAGAGAAATAAAGGGAAGAAAAGAGAGTGAAAAGGGCTAGAAAACTAAGTAGCAAGGAATGATGAGTTATTAAAGATATAGAATGGATAAATGCTCATATGTTATTCGATTAGTCATTCACAGTGTACGAAGTAGATCTCTGGTCTTCGTTTGAACAGCATGGACTGTAGGGGATGTGAGTGATGGCTATTTTATCTCTATTTTATTCTGAAGTATAGCACTAGGGCATGATCTGATAGCAACACAACGCACTCACAGGTGGTGACAGGGGCACCAGTGCTCAGCCAACAGCAACGGCAAAGAGATGAGAGAGCGGGCCATGATAAAGGAGTAATGGCCTTCTATAGAAGATTTGAAACCACTTCCACCTGGTTGTCCGGATAGCATTGCGCTCTGCCCCTATCCTATCTTAACCTCAATGTTTCCTCCAAAGTCTAGCAAAGACAAGAGAGGTAAAGAAGACCGCCACTCAGCCCAAATGAATCATCATATGAAATGTGTTCTGTCACTGCTGAAAATAGGAGGAGATAGTAACCACGCCAGCTAGTGACAGAGTGAGTGAATGAATGAATAAGTGGACAGATGAACACACCCAGCCCTCTCTTTGTGTTGAGCTTCATTCCCGTATCTTCGAGGGCCACAGATTTCGAGGATATTCTTTCATCTCTTTCTCGATTCCCCCTTTCTAAATTTATTTCATTTCTCCATAGGAGAAGAGAGGTTTGTTTTTGTTCAGAAAACAGCGCATTGGGTTTCTTTGTCTTTGATTTCTTGTACTTTGAATTGCACAATTATTTCCCCCCATCGCTGAGCGAATTTTAACCCACCACCGTCCTTTATTGCCTAGGCTGTGCCTGGCGTGTCTCATCCAAGAAGAAACACAACGTGGAGGCTTGTTTCTTGAGTTATTTCGTCGTTAGTTGGTCATCAAGTCCATTCGTTCAATCTTGCAGCCCGTACCACATTGACACTTGCTTACACCCGAGTTCGAGGCCCATTGACTCGAGCAATCAAAGAGAATAGACAGCAAAGGAAACGTACCTCGATATCACCTGAAAAATAACATCCATTGTCCTCGATTTCGCTTCTAGGAAAGGCTGGGGTGCATCCTTTTGGAGGCCCAAATCCGCCTGGGCGACTAAAGGTGTTGATATTTCCGTCGCCAGCAAAGTCACATCTTCGCAATCGGCGATCTCAATAAGAAAGTTCCTTGTTCGATTTAAACCTATCAACCTCCATATCCGGAGTTTCGGACAACTCTATCCCTAGCAAAGAGGATGAGTCCCTTTTAATCACACACCCCCTTCTCACCTCATATCCCTCGTATTGCCAGTTGACCCTAGGATGGCGGGAAAGACGACCGAGAAACCCTATGGCAACAACATCGAGCAGAACGCACACGTTCAACAAGGCCCAGTGTCTTCGGGAAACCAAACTCAGGGCCGTGCTAATTCCTCAAGGCCAAATGAGAATGCTGCCCTTAAGGACGAGAGTACCAAACGGGAAGCCACACAAGGAAAAGAGAATAGGAATGTTCATGCGTCGAGAACTAACGAACAAACTTCCGACCAGAAGACATTTATCAAGAAAGATGCCACTCACGGAAGAGAAAACCAGCTAAAAGACACAACAAAACCAGACCTAAAGGGAAAGGGAAATGACCAAAACAATGGAATGGCTAAAGGAAACGCCCCAATCACCAGCGATCGGTATACAGTTGGAAGGACAGCGACTCCTCCACCAAATCGACCGGCCTCGTTTGGTACATACTCGGCCAGTCCAGAAAAGATGTCCGATAATGCCGCCAGGGTTAGCAAGAATGACCAACCAGCCGCGTCCAGCTCAGGGCCAAACAGCACCACTGTCGACAAAATGCAGGATAAAGCTAAACCGCAAGATCCACGGTCTAGGGGTGAAATGACAAACTTGTCTGCAAAGGCTTGCCAAAGAGCTGCAACGGACCGCAGTACGCCAATAAGTAGCAGACCGTCATCCCCCAGCAAGTTGACTACTGAAACAAATGTTCAATCGGCTCCACGTTCCACGTTAAAGGGTGGAAGAACGAACAACGTCATGGAAGACGCTACCATCGCATCTGGGCAATCCACGAAGGCAAAAAAGAAGACCCGTAGAGGCAGGAAGAAGAAGCAGCCATCTACTATGGACCAAGAGGATGCAGCAACTGATAATAGTTCAAAATCTGACGCATCGAGCCCGACTAAGTCGGATGCCCCTTCCAAGACAGCCACCGGGAACAAGTCAATGGAGATTGTAGCGGCTAGTATGAACCCAGCGACTGTTATCGGAAAAGTGGATATAGATACGAAGGAGCAATCGAGCAAAGGGAATTGGGTAAGGGGCCGTGCTCCGTCTCCAGTTAAACGAGATGGGATTGAGCGCACTAAGATCGACGATGTTTTCAATGCCAAAGCCACAGCGCCCAAGAACGAAGAGCCTGTGAATAGTGACCAAAGCCCGGCAAACGGTGGCCGTGAAGAAGAAGCTTTCGCAGGTGTCGGCAGCGGCCAGGGTCCAAGTTTCACGAAGGCTGTTAAAAAACGAAACCGGCCGCGGCCTAGCAAGGCAGAGAAGCTTCCAAACAGGCAAGCTGCTACCCAAGCTGATTCTCGAGGGCTTGAGAACAACACCCAAGATATATATGAAAGACCTGGACTAGAGGATGATACGAATGATCGTTCAATGATTAGTATCGCGGATATACCTTCGGACGACGAACTTGGAGCTGAAAAAATGGAAGAGATCTTCGGAAGAAATGACGTGCCTGATTCGAGCAAGCTGGAGTGTGTTAAGGTCATCATGATGAAGCAAAGCCAAATCATCGCGCGAAAAACTCAGCTGGTGAACAAGTATCACAGAGAAAACGAGGAGTTGCAGGAAACAGTGGGGGAGTTAGACTCCAGTATCTTGACTCAGGAGGACGACAACAGCGAGCAACAGGTACAAATCGACAAGCTAAAAGCGATGGTGGACGAATTTCAGCGACGGCTGCAAAATCAAGAGTCGTTCATTAAAATTGCCGAGCAGGACAAATCTCGACTGGAAGAAGAACTTAATTCTAGCTCAACATCACTCAAGAGCATGGAAAACGAGAGGAAGGCACTCAAAGAATCAGTTTCCAAAATGGAAAAGGATATGGTCCTGATGCAAAATGATATAGCACAGCTAATCGGAGAAAGGCACGGGTTTCTCGCGACGATCAGCAACTACGAATCAGATCGGGACATGCTGCTGTGTCAGTTACAAAATGGCCCTACGCAGGAAGAAAATGTTCGTCTGCAGGCTGAGCTCCTGGAGAAAAATGCTGAGCTCGTTGTTGCCAATCAAAACTTCAATGATTTGCAGAGGGAGTATATAGCCCTGAAAAAACGTAGGGGGAAGGAGCAGGGGAAGCGCAGGTTATCGGCATTGAGTACAGAATTGTCGCTTCTGGGGGATGAAAAGGAGGAGGACTGGGAGCCGGACATAGATCAGAGCGGCGTGGAGAGAAACCCTTTCGCCCCGCTGCCGTCTTCAGTCACGACGCCTACGCTTTTCCAATTTGGCGAACTAGCCACCTATGGGAATGGGGTGGAGAAGAACGAGACTAGGTTGAACATCCTAAAGACGTTCCTGCACCAGACAGACGAGGAAGCTAAGAATTCAGAATCTCCTATATGTCTGAATGCCGGCACTCAGACAGAAATTATACCGAGCACCTTGAGCTCCACACCAAAGAATGAGCCAGAAGTGTCGGAAGCTTCGACGCAAACACCGGCATACGTGGAACATGGCACCCACGGCTCAACCCAGACAAACGTGGTGGAAATGTTGGAGGCTTCCACGCAGACCATCGCAGGGGCCGGCGTGTATGAGCTGGGGATGCTTGAAGCTTCCACACAGACAGTGTGCGAACTTGGTGTCTCTAGAGGGAATCAGACAGCTAAACTGGACACTCTGGAGGCCTCCACACAGGCAGTGTGCGAACCTGGTATCTCTAGAGGGAATCAGACCGTTAAACTGGACAGTCTGGAAGCCTCCACACAGACAGAGGTGGGAGCGAAGGTTCATGAAGTGAAAATGGTGGAAGCTTCTACACAAACCGATATAGCGGCTGGGGTTTGCGAGACGAAAGACGTGCTGGTGCAGACGGAGCCAGTAACTGTTACTCAAGGAAGCGAACTAGCACGGAGTCTGAGACTTGCCCTCATAATGTTTGCTTGGGCCGCTATAATACTCTGGGGACATAAGGAGGATCAGCGATTGTGGCTTGATGCCAATGGTGTGTCCCGAGCCGGCCTTGTAGGTATGAGAGACAGGTCCCTGGGCCCATTTCTATGGATAGAGCAGTTGAGGTATGAGCTCATTGTCTGTTTGCAGGTAGACCGGGTCCTCCCTGGATGAGGGGTTGAATGTTGGGTTGGGTTGAGATTGCTTGTCCATGTTTTGAGGCAAGGTGCATGCTTCCTCTGCCAAATGATGTGTTTCAGGTGGAAATGGGAATTTGGGGTTTTTTCCCAATTCTATCGTAACATTGTCGCGTTTTCATTTTCATTGATTAGCCAGCTTGTCCCCCAGTTGGTAGGGTATTCTGGCGTGGAAATATGTTTCCTTGCATGCTGCACATAAACTGTGAAACGTTCTTGCTTGCTTTATTAGATGCTTCTCTATTAAAGTGTGCGGAAAATTGTTAAAATGAATATATGGACATGAATATTTGCTCAACAATCTCCAATTGGATAACATTATCGGCCGTTGAGGTTACGAAGGCGGGCCGACAATACTCCGAAGTGTTTGGCGCTGTTCCAAAAATAACCCTCGGCAACCTTTAGAGGTTGCGTCACCTGGTTTGATCCGCTCGCCTCCGCCCACGGTACTGTACTGTACTGGTACATGGCAGCAGCCTATGAATTGCGTTGTTTTAGTTGTACCACTTAGGCCTCCTTTGTTCCTCTCCTGTTGGCTTCTTCGGCTCCCTTGCCTCATCACTCCCTTGCCTCATCATCCTTCGTTCTTCGTCCACATTTCTTTCTCTTCATCAGCCCTTCGACGAGCTGTTGAAATACTGTCTACCAAAACTTTTCTTATCAACTCATAACTTTCCTCTTGCTGATTACTATTTTCTTTTGTATCGTCTAATTCATTTTAGGGATGATGCTCCCCGCTCTTTTGGCCGCCAGCGTTTTGGCGCTGCCAGCTTCGTCCTTCTTGATCACAGGTCCCGCTTTCCGAGAGGTCAACGGCAAACCGCACCTGGTGTATGATGCCAATGTCAATAAACTCGAACTGAATGTGAAATGTATTCAGTGTCCGTTCCCCCAGTTCACCAGTGAGGAAAGCCTTCTCTGGGATGATGGGTTTGATAGCTTGATGGTATGCCTCCCTCTCCCCTTTGCTTACATATATATAGTGTTACTTAATGCAGCCCTGAAGAAGAATATAGATACTGATCCGATTCTTTACTCCAGGACCTTAACTTCACTACTGAAGGCACCCGACTGCTTGTGAACAAGGGACAGCTTTATCCCATGTTCAACCTCCCTGTTACCCTCGAAACCGTTCTACATCGTCAGTACGATGACAAGACATCTTTCCCTCTGCCCATCGGCTATGTGTTCGAACGCCTGGCCGTTCAGTCTACCAATGATAAGAGTGGTTCTGAACTACTTCATTTCAACTTCATGGTCATCGACGTTGCCGGATTTCCAGTTCCAGCGGATGCTGTCAGCCTACGTGTGCTCAAGCTGCCGGATGGCACCCTCTTCATGCTCGGTGCGGATATTGAAGAAGCGGCCCCGAAGATGTCATGGCGCCAGTGCCGCAGAAGGCCTAAGTGCTTGAAGAAGCTCATCATCGCTCGCATTCGTGCAATTATAGAAGCAGCAAAGGCTAGGGCAAAGGCTGCTGCTGAGAAAATTAAGGGATGCGCTGGCATGAAGGGCGTGACCCACCCAGCTGGAAGCCATCACCATGGTTCCAAGGACCATTCATTTGCCCGGGCATTTGCTCGATCACTTCACATTGTTATTGTTCCTGCTCTTCTTGGCCTGTCAGCGGCCCTCTTTGCCTGCAGTGTTGGCTTCATTGTTGGTCATGGAATTGCAGCTTTGTGGGCTCGTTATCGCCGCTCTTCACGCAACTGCAACAATGCTCGTGTTGAGAATGGTGATGACATTGAGAAGGAGCCCTTATTCGTCCCCGAGGATGATGAGCTCCCGCCGCAGTACGAGGACAAGGACCATGGAGACATTGCTCTTCCCGCGGAAAAGGAGTAGAAGTATTCATGATCAAACTAGCCTGCGTTGACTCGCCTGCAACATACGGATGTCGATGGCTAGCGAGAGATTGAGTGGCGATATATTAAGGGTTTCTACGTTGTTTCTTTTGTTACTGATTGTCTCGTTTCGAAGGCGTTAGAACTGAAATTTCTTTACAAATGTTATCAACTGTCACTCACTGGGCATTTTTCGCCTTTCCTTTTAACTCCCTGCTCTCTTTTCAAAATTCTTTCGCAGGTATCCGTAACTTCTGGTTCCCTTTGTATTTCATCTTGTTCTTCAATATTATGTCTAAACTTTGAGGTAGGTAGTTTCTTTTACAATTTTGCCATGAATCTAGCTTTTAAACACGTTCGAGTTCCCTCAACTGCCCACAGTTTACAAGTAATTGGTGCGTAAATGATAACTGCCTGCCTGTTTCCCCTTTCTGTATATCCTGTCACATTGGATTCCAAGAGATTTGCAGTAATGACACACCTACGCTATATATATGACCGCCCAAGAAAGTGCAGAGTTGATTAGTACTCTCTCTTCGATTTCCTCAAAGTTGTGGAACTACATTAATCTTAGTATTAACAATACACACCCCAGCAAGCACCGGCATAGAGTATGTAAGCATGAGTTAGTTGGCCTAGGATTCATTCTTTATTCGAATGAACAGCTGGACATGTAATCACAGCCCTACCGCCGGAAAGGAATAACAATGTGCCGACTCCACTTTGCTTGAGCCGCATGTTTGATCTAGACTCCACTTCAGCACTCGATGGCCCGAACGATGCGATTTGGTCTCCAGCTATACGGAGTATTCTACACATCATTGACCCCAGACTAGTCCTTGTCACTATCAAAGGACGACCAAGCTAGTGATCATTAAATCTCCTATCGCGACTGGGGACTGGAGATCGGATCTGTGGTATTTATCATGACTTCCAGGAGCAAACATTGTCCTCTTTGACCCCTGACGAACCCCAACTCAAGTGAGGTTGCCCGCTATTGGCAACTCGACGGTTCCCCAGAATACCCTATAAAACCACCCGTCGAGTAGTACAACGGAAATAGCTACCCAAAATTTAGGAACTTGTCAGGCGTGAGGGACCATACTATCCTTGAATATCGGTTGCTCAGTCATGTTCCAACTTTCTTCGCTCGTGCAAAAGGCTCAGGCCTTCATTGACCCGTCCAATTTTCTGCTCCCTACTTCCTCCTCTGACCGAAATCCTTCCAAGGCATCTCTCTTCCGGCAGCAATTCCGCCTCCCGGACTCCCAGAATCCGCTCCAAGAAATAAGCGCTGAGCTAGTCTTACCCATCCCCTTCACAACACCCTCGCGCCCTACCCAAGGCACTAAGGATGCGGAGCGACCAGGAAATCGATACGAAGGCAATCTACATCTGAGTGAGCGATTCTTGTGCTTTTCGACTCAGCATACTAGTTTTTTGTCATCTGCTAGTTTTGGGGCTTCTTCAGCGTTCACGGGCCAAACACATGGGACGGGGCCCTCTGGAAATGGGTTTACATTGCCTCTATGCGCAATTCGGAGGGTGGAGCGTTTGAACAGTCTTGGCCATGTATTTTCACTGGCATTGACGACGTGGAATGGAGCGCTCGTAAAGAATAACGCGAAGGACACGTCGGCGACGCCACAACGGTTCACTGTACACTTGATAGGGAGCAGACACGCATGTGAACGGTTCTGCGATGGGTTAAAAAAGGGCTTGAGAGAAGGAATGAAAGATGTGGATAATCTACGGATGGTTGTTGCAGAGTGTCATTCTGAGTACTTGCTCAGTGGGCGAGCGACTAAGTCTAGTGACGCTCCCGACCAGAACGAACAGCCAAGGGAACCCCCTGACACAGGTCTGGGATTGGTGTTCAGGTATCCTGGAGATGCTCGGAAACTAAGAGATCGAAGTAAAATGAGGTTATGGGGAGAGTATTTTAGAGGTATGTGGAATGTATCTTGTATACGATTTTTGCTTGGACGGTTATTGATTTCAAGTAGAAAACGGCCGTAACGCAACCCTGATTCGTCAACCGACCTTCCACAAATTAATACGCGTTGGCCTTCCCAATCGGCTTCGAGGAGAGATATGGGAGCTGACGTCTGGGTCATTTTATGCACGCATCCGATCCCCAAAATTATATACAGAAACACTGTCAAAATTTTCTGGACGCGAGTCCCTCGCTATAGACGAAATCGAAAAGGATCTGAACCGTAGTCTTCCTGAATATCCAGGATTTCAAATCGAAGAAGGAATTGGCCGGTTACGGAGAGTTTTAACCGCGTACAGTTGGATAAATGAAGAAATTGGTTATTGTCAAGCCATGAATATTGTCGTGGCGGCGTTATTAATGTAGGCTTCACCCTCCGATGCGTTTGGATCTAAGTAAAAAAACCAAGCTAACTTGTGTACAGATATATGTCTGAAACGCAAGCTTTCTTCTTGTTATCGGTACTATGTCAGCGCCTTCTACCGGGCTACTATTCTACAACGATGTACGGGACTCTGCTGGACCAGAAAGTTTTCGAATCGCTTGTAGAAAAGACAATGCCTGTTCTCTGGGAACATCTGGTTCGATCAGATGTTCAGCTCTCTGTTGTGTCTCTCCCTTGGTTTTTGTCACTATATATCAACTCCATGCCTCTCGTCTTTGCATTTCGTGTTCTAGACGTGTTTTTCTTGGAAGGACCAAAAGTCTTGTTTCAAATCGGGTTGGCCATCTTGCGGATCAACGGCGAAGAGCTTCTTGACGTGACCGATGATGGAACGTTCATTTCGGTTTTGAAGTCTTATTTTTCGAGACTCGATGAATCAGCCCATCCTCGCTCAGAAAATCCTAAACTGAGAGCTATTACACGATTCCAAGAGTTGATGGTTGTTGCTTTCAAGGAATTTTCTGCAATAACCCATAGCACCGTTACAGAAGAGAGAGATAGACACAAAGATGCGGTATTAGAAAGTATCGAGAGTTTCGCCAAGCGGACATCGATCCGGAACTTGGGTCCAGAGAGCAAGCGCCTAAGTGTGGATGACTTGGGCGCAATTTATGACCGCTTTTATGAGAGATTATATGACCATCAGGAAAGAGCACGGAAAGCTGAGGAAGAAAAAAGACGAAGGGAGAAGGAGAACATCACAGTTCGCCGTCGTAATTCAATCTTGATGTCAAACCCTGATGCTGAAATAGCCAGAGTCGGCCTTGGCCCCAGCCCTACGCTTATGGATTACGACTGTTTTCGAGAATTCCTAGCCGTCACTGCCAAATGGGCGGCTACAGACTCCCCAACCTCTGGAAGTATTTACTCCACTGAGAAAGGCGCATATTCTAATTCAAGTCTTAGAGGACGGAGGAAATCCTGGGATTCTAGCGGCGCCATACAGGCCGCCGACCACGAATTCATGAGGCGACTATTCCGCAACTGGGATGTCGATAATGTTCAGGGTCTGAGCCTTCAGAATGTCGTGAACGGGCTGGCTCGTATCAAAGGCACCAGGGATATCATGAGCACAATAAACTACTTTTTCGAGCTTTATGACGACAGCGGGACGGGCCAGGTTGATAGGGAAAGCATCCTTAGGATGTCAGAAGCGTTACTCTTCCTTTCGAGAAGGGGATTTGATGGCGCTTTGGTGTCCAGTGATGCGGCAGATGCTAACAACCCCATATCCGCTGAAAAGGGACTTGGAACTACCACAGCCTTAAGTGTCGAAGAGAAGTTCTTGGGAAGCGTTAGCGACTTTATACGACGGTGCTTTGAATATGCGGATCCAAGTCATCCAAAGAACCAGGAGAAGACAACAAGTGAGGTTGAGAGCAAGCTGGATGCGTTTGCCATAGGAGATGACGATGACGACGACGATGGACGCCTTATAGACGTCGAAACGGAGCCCGTCGACAAGAATAAAGAAAATGCACATTCTAATAACCTCCCATCCTCACCAAAATCTACCACCCATTCGCAACCTGGTACAACCACAAACCACAAACAAGCATCTGAATCCGCTAACCTCGCTCTCGACCCTGCCCACCCACTTCACATCACGATCCCAACTTTCCGCATGGTAATCCTCGCCGACGAACTTCTAGAGCAATTCTTCGAGACATTTTTCCCCCAATCCTTCCGCCTCTCCGAGACTCCTGACGTCGCCTCCCTCCGCAGCACCTCGCTCTCCTCTAACCTCACCACTTTCACCAACCTCGGCGTAGGACGCCCTGGCGCTAGCACAGCAGCAAGTGCCGGTGCTACCGTCGCTGGAGCCTCTGGCGGCATAGTTCCACCGGGTCACAAGGGCCTACGTGGAGTCCTAGACAATATAGTATCTGACGGGATGCGCATGGCGGCGGAAGTACGCAAGAAGATGGATGAAGCGCAGCGAGAGTTGGAGGAGAGTGCACATGCGGGGCGGCCGGAGGATGACGACGATGAAGAGGACGATGGGATGTATGATGATAGTAGAAGTGGGCATGGCCCGACAGTACCTGTTGGTGGAAGATCCTCTGCGCGTGATGCGGATCGCGATCTGTTGGAAGGGGCTGAGGTTGCTAGCTTAAAGGACTGAGATGATCGGGCTGGGGAAGAGGATGTAAGTGGAGGTGGCGATGGCGTTAATCATTTTCTCTAGAACCTCGATTATAATAGGGTGCTAAAGCCATTACTGGTGATATTGCGGGTAGAAGGAAGAGCCTCTTCTCCATTTTAGGTTATATTTGTCCTTATGATGAAATGCTATTAGCTGGTCGTTCCCTTTCATTAGCTTGTTTGGTTTAGATATCAACCCTGTTATTATATCTCAATTATTTGTGTTAAATATTCCCCCCCCGCTAGATTATAAGAACCTTCCCGTCAAAAGGAGCTCCATGCATATTCTTGCGAACAAACGGACGGGTCGAGCTGGAACGCTCTCCGCGTGAGTTTACCCCGTCATTTTGCAGTAGTACTTTCGCTGGATAGTCAATTCCATAACTGGACATCGAATTGGATGAGTTATATATACTCTGTAGTGTTTCAGATGGTTATTGGTTTTCATGATGCAGGCATTAAGGTGAGTTATACACCTATTTGAAGTTTTATGTAGTTAGACACGTATTTGGTTGGATTCAGGAGTTAATCTATCATCAGTAAGCGCAAGGGCCACCCGCCACTGTGGAGGACAAAAGTAACTGAAAAGTATGAAACCCACAACGTGGAGGTTAGTTACATGCGTATTGAGAAGCAATTCCGGTTATGTTGATCTCTAAATAAAATTCTTGGGAGGTGCCTACCCTACTCTAGCTAAAAGCCAGCTAAAGAAATCCTAGTCAGTCCTACGCAGTGCTCCCCCAGTGGAGATGAGATGGCCGGTTGATTTTCGCTTGTATTTGCTAGTGGGGTAACCATCCAACCATCCATGGTTGGTTTAACCAACTTAGTTCAATATCTCAGTGATAGATCCGTACTTTCATGTGGAAAATACTGCAACAGCCCGGTCCTCTACATTGAGGCCTGCATTCACAAGACGTAGTCCTTAATAGCCGCTGGTAGAGATATCTTTGGGCTTGTCCTCGGATACCCTGGCAGCTGGCTAGCGGACCAGAGTGGGTTTTGTTCTGGGATAACCGCTTACGTGACTGTCCAACGCAACGGCTCAATGATAGCCCAGACGCCCGACTCAGGAGAGAGGGGGCTCTTGGGAGTTGGAGAAGATTGAGAAGTTATTTAATCAATCTTTCACAGCTTGGGGGTGGAAATAGGTCAATAAAATACCCATGAAAGATACAAGTCGTCAAGCATCGCACGCGGGATGTTGTTTTTCGGTACACTGGCCTTTTGCCATTTCCCTCCTGTAAGGCTGGAGTTCAGCAGTTAGTTTTAGTTAGCCGACCACTAAGTTAGTGACAGCCTAGGATGAGACCAACCCCAACGCGAATAAACTCGTATGAAACACCTCATTCTTACAATAATAGACCTTGGAATCGAGGACAGGTAAATAACTGTCCAAATTCGCTCTGCCTTGCCGGTTATCTCGACGGGGTCTGCTCTCCACACCTGTATACGGAGTACTGTACATGTACTCTCTGTGAGCGCTGTGTCGTGTTGTTTGTTGTTCCAGTGAGGCTCTGCTGGCGAGGTCCTTGCGCCGCACACTTTGCTTGCTGACTTAATCCCCCAGAGGACGCCTTGCCCCAATCAAACGTATGTACATACAGTACCTCGACCACAACCTCACCTCCTCGACTCCGCCTTCTGTACCCTATAACCCCGTTTGGCGGCTGCTGTCGCTACTCTTTCCCCTCCATTCTCTGTCCAACCTCTGCTAATGACTGTCACGCTGTAGCTTGTCGCTGGTTCGGGTACACGGACCGACGAGGCTTCCGGAGTCGGTTTCCATTCCCCTCATTCAACCAGCCAAAACAACCCACATGGTCGTGGATTCAATCTTTCCGTTTAGCCAGGCCCCTTATTTTATCAACAGTTGCTTCTGGCCTAGATCTTAGTCACATTGCGGGTGGGATTGCAGGTTAATCTCTCTTTACTTCCCAAAAATGGCATACCCACAGAACGGCCAGCAACATCAACATTACCATGGCCTCCCAGCGACTCCTTTGCCGCAACATCACCATCACCCGCAGCAGCAGCAACAACAACATCCACAGTCGCCGCCCCTTCAGTACCCTGCGCAGTATGCACAAACGCCTCCACTAGCTAGCCAGCAGACTGCAAACCCATTGCGACGGAACGCAAGCTTCGACGCGGGCGATGATCGGAACTACTTCGATGATGGTCGTCAACGCACGGGTGCCAACCCTAGCTATCCGGGGCAAGCAGGTCATGGTGGTGGATATGCCGGTTATTCGAGCGGAGGCGTGAACAGTAATGCGACGAATAATCTGGGATCAAGGAATTCGCAGTTCTCCGTGGGAAGTTCACGGCATTCCTTGGTCAGCCAGGCTTCATCGCAAGGGTCGTCTGCTTTGTCAGGTTATCAACATCAATATCAACCCCCTGCTTCAACTGCTGCTGCCCAACCTTCCTATAACCCCGTGCAGTTTGCGTATCCCACTCCGCCAGCTCACTCTCAACCGGGATATAATCCACAGGCGTTCGCTGCTGCGGGTACTGCCACGAGCACTGCGAATACGGCGTACAATAGCCAGGCCTACCAGCATTATAATCCTGCAGCATATCAGACGCCGCCATCAGCCACTTATCATGCCTCTCCCACTCCCTCATGGCAAGCCTCAACGCCCGGCCAGTCGTATGGCTTCTCTCCGCAGTCCCAATACCAGTTTTCTCACCCTACGACTCAGCATCCACAAGTACCGCCCCCGCCTCCTCCACGAGCAAATGAGAACACATATAATGCGTATTCAACGCCGCAATACGTGGACTCCTCCCCACGTCCAACGTACGGCTATTCTCCCAATCTCCCCCAGTCAACCTCGTCCGTATCTCGCATCAGTTCACAATCAACATACACAGCTGCACCTACATCATCCCAGGCTGTTTTTAACGTGGAGACATACGGTGTGGATGGATCTGCCTCTGGCCTTCCGGGGAGGCAGTACTCTCAGAGCTCTCACCCTCCTTCCTCGTCTCCTAACCCGCCTCCACATGGCACAATTCCGCATGAATCGTCCCCTCAGCCATCCTCCTATGCCTCTTTTGATTACAGATCACCTATAGGCCTTCAAACAAGCAACGCGGTTCCGACCCCTCCTCTTCACCAGTCACACCAAACTTCACCCAGGAGAACTGACACGCTCAATCGACATCCACAGTCGAGGCCATTACCTGGACCGCCACAGCAAGCTGCGCTATCCAGAGCAGATGGCCGGGAGGGGTTTGAACCAAATTCTGACGATCCCATGAAGCAAGCTGGAGGTCCAGTTACAGAAAACCAGCAATCGCTCTCCACTTCACCGCACGTTCGTGAATCTCCAGATACATACCATTCACACACGAACGGCCATGGACACATCACTAACGCAGGCCCCGGGTTTAATATTAACTATGATGCACATAGTGACGATGAAGACGCCGAGGCTGCTGCCGGCCTGGCAGCCCTACAAATGGCAGAAGAAGAGGACGCGTTATTCAATGCTCAACAGACCACGAATTCGTCGGCCATGAGCGGCTTCGGCCCTCCCTCTGGTCCGCCGCCTGCTATTCCAGCCCCTACAACCCAGGTGGAATCAAGTAGCGATAGTGATTACGCTCAACATGATATGGGACTGTATGGGGGAGGTTACGATGCCCATCTGCACTATGGTGATAACCCGAGCATTAGCTCAGGTACTGACCAAATGGTCACTACTTCTGGCTCATTACGAAGCTCAGATAGGTCCACTGACGACCGGGGAACACATTCAGATAGCTATGATTACCCCAACATTGATCAAGACTCCATTCATCCGTTCCCATCCCATAGTACCCCAGCACGAGTGGATGGTATCTCTACTGGAGGTCTGTCAGAAACCACCATGGAGAACAGAAGGATGAGCTTTGACCATGGGGATGAGGTCTCCATGAACCGATCAACCACAAGGCCGATATCATTCAGCGATACTACGGACAAGGGCGAACCACAGGATTTATTTTTCCACCCAGGAATGTCTTCCCGACCTCTGCCTCCTGCGCCTGTTCCTGCAGCGAGCAATCTCATCCCACACCTCATGCCTGCTGGTACCTATCGGAGCCGCGATCCCATTCCGCAACCATATAATAGTGCCTATTCACAACCTCCCTACACATCCACTCCAGATGAGTTTGTTTCACCCCCATCGGCGGTTCCACGATCGACATCTCTTTCAACTCATACGAATAGTCCTCGCCCTGATCTTATTATCAGGTCGAAAACGGATGCAGACCGGATTAAACTCAGGCAAGGTACTTATGAAACACCAACTTCGACACCTGTCACACTGGATCTGCCCACCATCCCTTCTGGAAGACGGAATAAATTTAACCCTACGAAATTGTCTACGGAGCAATTCCGAAAATGCACTGAACCTTGGGCACTTAGCGCCATAGTCGCGTGGATAAAGGAATTGAGCGAAGATGAGACTGATTTAAAGAAACAAACCGTGATTGATGCCATTGTCGCCTTATTTACTCATAAAGTCCCAACAATGAACACAATTGATGCAGAAGTTCTGGGTGACAGGGTAGTAAAAAATATGTTGAACGAAGGCGTGCTAATTAAAGATGAAGAATGGGTTAAATTTGGACCTGGAACACTATCGGGTGTTTTTTGGCAGATTAGCGGCCAAGGCTGCTACTCGTCCCGTCTACACTTGCAAGAAGGCGAGTATGTTGGTCGCTGCTATTCACATCATTGTATGCGAACCTTGAAGAAGGTCAATCTTCAAGCACAGGCTATGGAGCCGGAGAAAAAAGCTGAAGACTGGGCAACATTTTACAAAGTGGGCAAGGAAGTATTTGATACTCATTCCAAGAAGGAAATCGATCGGCAGAACATCCTTCACGAGATTGTCACAACCGAGGATTCCTATATTGGACAGTTGGACGTCTTACGAACTTTGTATCGTGATCAACTCACAGAATTTGATCCACCGGTGATTAACCCAAAACGCCTCAACAAGTTCTTAGATGAGGTCTTTGGAAAGGTCGATGCCGTCAAGAAGGTCAATGAAGACCATTTACTTGCCCAATTAAAATATCGACAAAAGGAACAAGGTCCATTTATTTTTGGGTTCAGTGACATTTTCCGTGAATGGATTCGACGAGCTAAAGCTGCTTATATTGATTACGCAGCGACCTTCCCGAATGCAAATTACCTCGTCCGGAGAGAGGCTGAAACAAACATGATGTTTAGGCAATTTTTGAACCAAGCCCGAGACAACAAGTTGTCCAACCGATTGAGCTGGGATACGTACTTGAAGGCTCCGATCACACGGATTCAACGATATGTGCTCTTGTTAAACACCGTATTAAAGAGCATGGACAAAAACTCTGAAGAAAAATCCAATTTAATGCAAGCTAT